GTGCACTCTGTGAGCTCCCGAAAGATCTGGGGGGCTTCCCTGGGGGCTCAGATGGTGAAGAACGTGCCTGCAGTGCAGGAGGCCTGCATTCGATCCTTGTGTCGGGAAGATCCCCTGGAGGAGGGCATGACAACCCACTCCAGTGTTCTTGCTGGAGAATCCTCATGGCCAGAGCAGCCTGGCGGGCTATAGTCATGGGGTCGCAGAGTCAGCCATGACTGAGCACAGCTCAAAAGACACGGGGATTCTTCGGGAGCTGGGACTTTGCTCAAGGGGAGGTGCCGGCCCGGACGGCGTGCAAGGGGAGGTGCCGGTCCGGACGGCGTGACCGGAGGGCCAGCGGAGGCCTCTGCCGACGGCGACACGCCCCAGAGCTCATGCGGCGAGAGTGGCCACCTCGTTCCCACCAGCCCCCCACGCGGCTCATCACGATCTGGGTGTGAGAGCTTTCAGAAACATCTCCAGAAACTGAGTGTAAGTCCTGTGTTTCTTGACTTCCCTGGTTTACTTTCCATGTGCAGTAAGTACTTGGTAAAGACAAACGGGGTAAGATGCGATGAAGTCAGATGTAACTTAATACTTGTAAAAGCTGGATTTTGCCTGCAAGTGTCGCCTCTACACTCGCTGCCGGCGTTGTTCTGACTCAGGCTGTGAGCCGCCAGCCGGCCGCAGCTGCAGGGCCGTGTGCTGTGGACGCTTCCTGACCTGGGGTGCGGGGTGAGCTCCTCCGAGTCTCTCACCGTGGGGCTTTCCAGAACATCCCGAGCTGCTGTCCCGGCGTGGGCTGGGGCCTGCGACCGTGCTCACGTGTTTCTCCCTGGACTGTGTCGTGGGCACGCGGCCCTTGGCGCGGCGGGCTTGACCCAGCCACCAGCCCTGAGCACAAGGCATCCCGGGCTGACGGCAGGGGAGCAGACAACTGTGACGGGCGTGAGGCATCCCTGTCGGAGGCGGGGGCTACAGGAACAGCCCAGGGGCTCGGCCAGGAGCCTGAGTGGGGGCACAGCGGGGCGGGTCCTGGCCCCCACGGACAGCAGGTGTGGAAGAGAAGTTGGTCCGGTGGAGACCTGGTGACACCGCTCCCCAGACTCAGGAAGCGCCTGACCCGGCGTCTCTGCACAGAGGGACGGTTTCCTTCCCCGCCCCCACGTGTAGTCTAGATGCTGGGACAGTCTGGACTCAGGAAGGCCCTGTTCAGAGCTGGAGCCCCGGGCCGTCTGTTCAGGCTTCCTAGAGCGCGAGGCCGTGTCTGTGTGGGGAGGGGCTCTCGGAGGCTCCGTGTTGGTGGACGTTCTCAGATGCAGCCAGGTGTGCGGTGGGCCCTTGTCTGAGCGCAAGGCAGATGCTGGCTTGGCGCCCGCTGCGTCCTGTCCAGGGAGCGCGGAATCAGGCTTTCCCACGGCTCTGGGGTCAGCCCGCTGGTCTCGGCGTGGGCACGTGATGCGGTCTGTCCCTCTCCCTTGGGCCCAGCCTCCAGAGCCACGATTTTATTTTAAACTTGGTCAGAGGAGTTTGGTTTTAATTATCCACCTTCCTGAACTCCCAGTAACTCCAAGCTAAAAGCTTTTGTGGGGATTTTTCTAAGCCAGCTGCTGGTGTTTCGAGAGCCTCTACATTTCAAAAATCAAAACCAGCCTGGCCCCGTCCCGTTGCAGGATGACCTTGTAAATTCACGGCGCCCTCGGCTCATCCTCTTATTAGAAACAGGCCCCAGCCAGTGAGGTCGCTGCGGGAGAATTCGGGAGGGATGGGTGGGAGGAGCCAGCTTCTTGGTTTGTGAGCCTTTCTGAACTGTAGTCTGTCGGGTCCTCCCCCTCACTTTCTGTTTTCTGTGCTCGCGCTCTCTGAGCAGCTTGCCGTCTCTGCTGCTGGGGCCCCGGGCTGGGCCGAGAGGCTGCGAGAGTGAGCAGTCTCCCTCCGGCCCAGACGCAGCACACGGTCCGTCTCGTGGCCGACGGCGCCGTCTCTAACCAGGAGTCCTTCCTGAGACGTGCTGAGTCGAGCACGGGCCGCCAGGCGTCTGTCCTCACCTGTGGGTCCGGCGCCACTGGGGGGCCCGGGCCTTCCCCCGCCCCTCGTGATGTCCTTGACGGGCTTGCAGCCCCGAGAGCACACCAGCAAGCCTGCACCCCCAGGGACAGGCCCGCGCTTCCGAATGAGGTGCAGTGCCCAGGTGGCCAGGAGCTGGGCTTAGTGAGTGACAGCTCCTTTTATCAAGAAATCCAGACTTCTGTCTCCCTACACGTAGCTGGTGTTTTTCCGTTAGACGCCAGATTCCCTGGGGCATTAAGAAGCGGGGCACAGCCGTTGTTTCTGGAAGACGGTCTCTGCACCAGCACCATGCTGTCCGAGGCCGGGTCTGCGACCCAGGTCCTGTGCCCGACCAGGCCCGCCTGCCCTCGGGGCTCTAAGAAGCCTCCTCAGGCTCATTCCAGCCGTAAGGCGAGTGCCGGCTCTGGGAACCCCGGTGTCCTCCGAATCGGTGCGTGTGTAGCCTTTCCTGAGACTCACTCTCCTCTGAGGGGCCGGGTCACCTCAAGACGTGGCTGAGGCTCATCCTTGAGGGCGGTGGTAAAAAGCTGAGGGTCCCAGAGGGCTCCACTGGTCGCTAGTTGGGGGGGTGGGGGTGGGGGGGCGCTAGAGGGGGCACCTTGGGAGGAGTCCTAATTCCTGTGATACCTGCTCTCCCCGCCTTCTGGTGCAAGTCCAGAGGAGGCAGATCAGCGCATCGCCCTCCGGCCTCCAGTGCGGCCCCTCTGGGACCCGGCTGTCCTGAGGGCGGCGTGGCAGGGCTGGCCCACCGTCTGTGTCTCGCATGGGCGTCCGTGTCCCCATGTGCCATCTGCCCCACCTGAGGACCACAGGGGCGTGACAGCAGGAACCCACCCGAGGGGGGAGGTCACGGCCCCTGCCTTGCGAGGAGTGAGTCCTGGACCTGACTCGTGTGCTCTGATGGAGGTGAACTGGCTGAGACAGACCTGGTGAACGCTGAATTTCCTGTCCTCACCAGAGACAGTCCGCACCGCAGAATTTAAAGTTGGAGACGCAGCTAAAGTCTCACCCGACAAGTCACGCTTACAGAGAGGACGTCAGGAAGCCCCGAGGCGGTGAACAGACACGGCCCACGTGCTGGCTGGTCGTCTGACCAGGCCATCTGAGGACCCCCTGCCCAGGTTTCTTTAGGAGAGAAACCCAGAAGGAAGGGATGGTTTCCTCCGAGGGCTCTCCCCTGTGGGGGTGGAGCTTGAAGAAGCCGGGAGGGAGCAGGTGGTCAGGTGCGGAAGTGCTCAGTGTGCGGGGTGGGGAGCCCCCCTGAGCCGACAGCCCCGCCTGGAAGCCTGCCTGTGCGCTGGGCAGGCGTGTGCTGAGCGGCGCGGTCCCCAGGGCATCACTGGCGGCAGCGGGGGGCGGGACCTGGGGCGCGTGTGCCCATCTCTCGTGCGTGCCTGTCGGGAAGCGGCCGGGGCGCCCTGTCTCTGTCTCCTCGCCCCACTCCAGTCTGCCCGCGCCGCTCAGACAGGCCTGCTCTCGGTGCCCCCGCTCCGTCCCGCAGCTTCTCTGCCACCCAGGCTTCCCTGCAGGCCCTGCACCGCTGTCCTTCCATTTGGTGGAGCCCTTGGTGTTGCCCGGCCCAGGGTTTGGCCTCGCTTCTCTGGGGCTCAGGGCGCATCCTGATGGGCAAGCCCCTGGCTGTGAGCCCCCAGCTCCAGCACAGCCCCGGCCACACCGCTGGGCCGGTGAGGCGGGGTGGGGCCGGGCCGTTACAGGCCCGAGTCAGGAGGATTCCCGAGCCAGCCCGCGTGTTCAGGATGTCTGGCCCCAGGTCAGGAGACGGCGCACACGCCTCGCAGCGCCTCCTCCATGGGCGGTGGAGCGGGTCTTCACCCAGACACGCTCACATCTAGGCCGCTGGTGCTCAGCCCAGCTGCACGGCAGGTCACCCAGGGGACGCGGTGCCATTTGTGGAGGAAGGCCACCTCTCAGCCTGTTGAGGGAGCACTTCCCAGCTGGAGGTCCGGGTGGAGGTCCGGTGGGACGCTGTGGAAAACAGCTGGTGGGCGTGAGCCCAGGTCAGGCGAGGCCTTCGGGACGGCACCTTGCACCTGGGTCAGCGGGTCGGGGCCTGCGGCCCGTGGTGCTGGGGCTCCGTCCCCGGACGGCTTTGGGGCAGTGTGGGGCCACCGCACCCCGGGAAGGCCCAGCCGGGCGGGAACCTGCGCGTCCTGTTCGTCCTCCTCCTGCTTCTGTCTCCCCTCGAGGACCTTGTTATTAACTCCTTAGAAAACAGAAATAAATACATATACGTCAATGGAGGATTTTTGGGTTTTTGCTTGAGTTCTTTTATTAGAAAAGTGGAGATAAGGTAAAGGTCATCTGTGATCAAAAATAAATGTGAAACAGGCATACTGTTACACTGGTGTTTGCCGTGACTATAAGCAGCTGAGCTCCCAGCTGAAACCTGTAAGCCCCTTCCTTCTGAGGTCTTGGTGCTTTCTCAGGCTCTCCCACTGTCCTGGTTACAAGGGGGCCTCTGCCTGCCCTCTTCTCCCTTCACGAGGGGTATGGGGTGAGTGGGGACAGTCCTGGGCCTTCACGGAATAGATGAGGGCGTCCCCGAGAGCCGGGCTGAGTGTGAACGGTAGGAGATGGGTAGACGGGATGCTGAGATGCAGAGAGGTGGCCGTCGCAGGCCCACGTGGTCCTGGGACGCAGAGCCATTTGTTGGGGGCTGGTGGTTCTATCACAGGGGCTGGTGGTCCTGTCACAGGTTGCTGAACCCCAGCTTAATGAGATGCGCCCCCCCTTCCCCGGCCGCAAGTCTTGAGAGTCCTGGGCACGTGGGGGGGTGCTTTGCTGAGCAGCCTTTCTTTAATCTGCGAAGCTGCACCGTCTGCAGCTGTGAAGCTGAGGTGTCTGGTTTGGAAAGTACACTTGTCAGTGGAGATGATAACCGTCAGCCCGCGACTAACACTGATTTCTCGTTTGTCTCCTTTCTGCAGCACGAACGACTCTCTAGGTAAGGCCTTCCCCGAGTCACACTCGTGAGTAAACGCTTCTGTGCCTACATGCACCGGCGCCTGCTTCAGCGTGTCTCTGTCCTCCCTTCTCCTTTCCTCGGCCCCCGCACAACCCCTCCATCCCCGTCACGCTGCGTCCTGCCTGCACCTCGGTTCCCCAGGCTTGGGGGGCGTGAGTGTCCCGACAGACAGACGGCTGGACAGACAGTCTCAGCAGGAAGCAGCCAGGCCACGAGAGAGGTGCTGATGGGCGCTCGGGGCAGAGGAGTGGCCAGCCGGACCCGTGGTCCTGGGTCAGGGGCCCCAGACCGCTCCCTGTACCCAGATGGGCCCCGGGGAAGTCTGTCCAGTGAGCTACAGCCCTGAAAGCTTGAAGAAGCAGGTCAGAGTGTGGGGAGGGGTCCTCTGTAACGTTTACCGAGTACCTAAGGGCACAGACTTGGTCTTCCTGAAGAACCAAGTAAAGAGTAGAGACCTTCGATCCCCAGGTTTGTGATCCCTCTGATGAAGAATCCGAGAGGGACAGGGGTGCGCGGTTCTGGCGGGCGTGGGGTGGATCCGTCTCGTGACAGAGCCGCTGCTTCCTGTTGTCAGACCCTGAAGTTCACACACTGGCGCATGTTCTCCCCTCGCATGTCGCCAGCACCAGCAGAGGGTAAATCCAATTCCCATCTAACCCAGCAGAAAATTAATTTTGCAGATTGGTGGAGAGAAGCGCTTTACTCCAGTTAATTTCTTGTGAACTCTGTTACGTTATAATGCCATTTATGAAAATAAATTTTACTGCCAACTTCAGAATATGCAATTAGAACAGTGAGGTACTCAAAATTGGTGGAACCAGCTGACAGCCCCAGAAGCCACAGGTGACTTTCTAGCTTCATGGGGGAAGAATCCATCTCATTACATAAGATTCAAATCTCTGCTATTAAAGAGACAAAAGTAAAGTGGGGAAAATTGCAGCTTACATTAGTTCTAAGGCTTCCCTGGTAACTCAGCTTGTAAAGAATCCACCTGCAATGCAGGAGACCTTGGTTTGATTCCTGGGTCGGGAAGATCTGCTGGCTGCCCACGATAGTATTCTGGTCTGGAGAATTCCACGGACTGTATGGTCCATGGGGTCGCAAAGAGTCGGACACGACTGAGTGACTTTCACGTCAGCTTTAAAAGCCCTACTGTATGTAGGATGCTCAGGATATTTACTTCTTCACCAAACAGTTCCACTGCTAAAATTTTATGCTAAGAAAGTAACTAAGACTTACAGACAAATCAGTGTGTGCCTTGGAGAAGGAAATGGCATCCCACTCCAGTATTCTTGCTTGCTCCTCTCGTGGATAGAGCAGCCTGGCGGGCTACAGTCGCTGGGGTCGCAAAGTGAGACCCCACCTAAGTGCCTTGGCACGGACGGTGTGGGCCTTTCAACAGAGGATTCAGCGCTCTCGCAGCCATACAGCGGAAGTCTCCACGGTCATCTGTTTTTTTAATGAGGCAAACTTGTCTTTACGTATGTGTGGGGTGCCCGCGGTCATCACGAGCAGGTGTAGGGAGAGGAGGCAGGCACAGAAAGTATTCTCTGAGTTTGTTCACAGAAGTGTCTGTTTCGACCTCCGTGTCTAGCATCCTGCAGGAACACAGACTCAACTGTTAACAGAGACTGTGCTGGGGCAGGGCTTGGGGTGACTTTCACTTTCTGTTTAGACACTTTGATACCCATGCCTAAGCTGTTCAGTAAGCACGTCCTGTTTTTGTAATCAGGAAAGTCAGTGAAGGGATTTCTGTTTACAAAAGGTGTTTTTTTTAATGTAAGAAGAAAAAGAATGTTGCGGAAGGACGTGGCATCCCCGTGAGGACAGGGTGGCTCTTGGACTCGCTGGGCGCCGTGCCCCACCCAGCTCTGCCGCTTCTGGCGCCTGGATCCCACCCAGCCCCAAGCAGTGGCCGCGGACAGGGCCACTGGCAGACGCTCTGGAGCCGGGCCTTCACGCGTCCTGGTTCAGGGTGGAGCCCTGCAGGGCCAGGCTGTGTGTGGCCTTCTGTGGGCCACATTTTAGCTTGGAGACAGCAAAGCCCCAGAAAGACAGGGACACTGTTAGGGATCCACTCAGTCTGTGACCCACTCTCGGACCAGCCAGTTCTGGAATGAAGCTGCCATCCGCCCCGAGCATGCAGCCCCTGCATGCTGTGACGTCCCGTCCCAGGCACGGCCGCCCCCATGTGGCGTCCAGAGGAGGGGGTGGACGGCGAGCTCGCCTGCCCCGTGCCGTCCTCGCCCACCCCAGCTTTGAGCGCCAGGCCCACGTGTTTCTGACTTCATTGGAATCATTTTGTAAGAGCCTCTGAGATCCAAGAAAATTGCTTTTAAAAGCACTCTCTTGAGGGAAGGTATTTACCCCAAAGCTAGTGTGAAAAGCTCTGAGATTTCAGCCCGCACAAGCGTCCAAACCACCAGCTCCCAGCCCACTGTGTGCCCGCCGGGCAGGCATGCCCCGCGGCGCTCAGCGCCTCTTGGGAAAGCGTCCACCACCCTTTGGCGTCTCCCCCTGCACCTTGCTGTTCTTGGAACCGGCTTCCCCTTCCCTGTGTCTCCTGCAGGCTGGAATCTGGAGGCAGCGACACATCTACCGAGCGGGCCTCAGCCAGAGCCCGCCGCGAGGCCCGCGAGGCCCGCCTGGCCACCCTGAGCAGCCGTGCGGAGGACGGCAGCAGCAGGGACTACAGGAAGGTGGGCTCCTAGCCTGGTCCGCCCTGCTCGGGGCAGCCCCGCAGAGTGCCGTGGTCCCCTCTCTCTGCCGGCTGCTGCTTCTAGGACAGTAAAAATGTCCCTGAGTCGGGTGTTGAGAGGAGTGGGAAGAAGCAAGGACTGAGGGTTGTGGACGGGAGAGCAAAGCCGTTTGCTTTCTGTGAGCCCCGTGAACGCCAGCCACACGCTGCTCGGTCGTCGTCAGTAACCGTGCTCTGGTTTGAGGGTTTATGCTATTTTATGGCTCGTTTCCTTCACTTCTTGCAGAAGAGAACCCAGCTCAAAGGGCCGGCTCGAAACCCTTCCTGTGCACAAGATGCCAGGAAAAACTTTTTTGTTACCAAAACGTTTGTCTTGTTAGGCCAAACTTGGCTAAAATGGGTATGCACATGAGGGAGGCTCCAATGTCAAATCTCTTCTGTGTGGGAACCAGATTTTTAAACCACAGACACACACAGTGGCGTGTTCACTCTGTGCCCCACCCCAGGGATTAACCTTACAACAGGGGAGCATCATCTTTGAGTTGAGTCCCTTGGACCTCACGGTTCCAGCAGCGAGAGACCTGCTGGCTGGAGGCGCTCTGTCCCCAGCCGCTCACTCGGGGAGCTGACTCCTCTCTCCCTCCCCAGCTCTACGAGAGCGCCCTGACTGAAAACCAGAAGCTGAAGACAAAACTTCAGGAGGCCCAGCTCGAGCTGGCAGACGTGAAGTCCAAGCTTGAGAAGATGGCACAGGTGAGGTGGGGAGGGAGAACCAGACTTGGGTGCAGCCGCAAGGTGGGCCTCCCCTGCCACGGGCCACTGCTGGGTTGGCAGGAAGCCGCCGGGAGCCCTGAGGGTCAGAGTTTTCAGTCTGCCAGGGAGGGCAGGTGGAGACCAGAGGTGGCTGTCGGTTCTGCCCCAGAATGGGGTCCAAAGGCAGAGATAGAAATGCTGGGCCTGAGTAGTGGCATGTGTGTGTGGGGGGGAACAGTGCCCTCCCAACCCCTGGGCAAGCAGGGGTGCCAGTGCCCAGGGGGCCGGGGTGGGGGCATGCCCCGAGGGCTTTCTGGGGGCTCAGCAGCACAGAGCCGCCCATCCTGGGGGCTGCCCTTCATCCTCACCTTGGAAGGGCCCCGCCTGCTCTTGGCGGCCGAAGCCAACTTTGTCCTGAAGGGTCTGCTGGGCTGGCCACGCAGGCCTGGGCTGCACGTTTCAGAGGCTGGGGGCGTTCTGTGAGGAGCCCTGCCCCCAACTCACTCCTCCTCAGAAGCTCCGACAGCACCTCCTTTGACCTCCGGGTCTTGGCTTCATGGTGCAGCGCTCCCACGAGCTGGGACGCTGATTGCGTGGAGGCTGTTGAAGATAAACTCAGCCTCTGCGTCCCTGGGGAACTGTGTGGACTTCCTAGCCAACTGCTTTGCTGGGTGTGTCGGAATATGCTTTGTTTTGCCAAATACGAGTTACTGAAATTCAGAAGAAATGCTGGTGCTGCAAGCCAAGCCTCTGCTCTTTACCAAAAATGGACTGTTCGATGGACAGTGAGGGGGAGGCCCGTCGGCCGCACGCATCTGTGTGCAGACGGTTACCACATGGACACACGATGTGTTCGCAAGGCCCACGCGAACTTGGACGGCTTAGAGTTAAACCAAAGCAAAACAAAATGGGTTCTTTGCCCGAGTGAGCCAGTTAAGCTCTCCCAGTACAGGTGAAGTAGCCGTGAAATGGCTCCCACAGCCCCAGCTTGGGCAGGAGAACCTGGGTGCAGCTGCCCTGCCCCATCTTTCCTCCTGCTTCTCCGCAGAGGGAGAGGCTGACGGCCGTGCGCTTCAGAGACACTGGCAAGCGTCTCAGACGGGAGCCTGAAATCCCAGGTCTCTGCCGGTTCTGACCGGCCCTTCCCTGTTTGAGAAAAGAAGCCTCCTCAGGAACGCCAGCGCGGTTTCTGTATTTATTCAGTGTTTCTGTGCCGGTTGCTCAGCATAAACAGTCACTTTGTCATCATCAACAGTCTGTTGGTTGTAAGAAATGCTGCCTGGTTCTGAAATGCTGAGAGCGGAAGGGGCCTGGGAGCATCGCCATGCCCCATTGAGTCCAGCCTTGAAGCTGCTCTGCTTTTTAGCTGTGGTGGCTGAATCTTTTTAGCCCCTCTCCAAATAAGGTGTATAAAAGTAGAGGCTTCCCTGGTGGCTCAAAGGTAAAGAATCTGCCTACCAGTGCAGGAGACATGGGTTCGATCCCTGGTCCTCAAAGATCCCACATGCTAAGGAGCAGCTAAGCCCGCACTGCACAACCTGGAACCCAAGCCACGTGCCCAGAGCCCGTGCTCCCCTGGGAGAGATGCCACCGCACTGGGGCACCCGCGCCCCACAGCTGGGGAGTAGCCCCCCCACCGCAACTAGAGAGAAGCCCGCCGAGCAATGAAGACCCAGCATGGCCAGAATAAAGAAAAAAGGTAGAGGGTGGTCCACACAGTAAAGTTTGGATCTCTTATTCAGATAGAATCTCACCCAACGTCGAGCCCAGTGTATAAAACAGGAAGGTCCTGTTCACAAGAGGCAGGTCTGCGGATGGACTGAGGCCTGAGAGACTCCAGCCCGCCCGCCGTGAAAACCACCGCCTTTGTCCCCGGAACAGAGCGAGCAGAGCAGGGGCAAGCGCCTGGTGCTCCAGCTTTTACGGGAGAAGGGCACTTCATTTCCTCTGGCCTGAGATTCCAGAGAGGGAAGGGAGGAGCAGTGCGGGGCGAGACGGGCAGCCTTGAAGTGTGTGTGTCTGTGTGCGTGTGTGTGTTGTGTGTATATGAAGTGTGTGGGTGTGCATGTGATGGATGTGTATTGTGTGGGAGTGTGTGGTGAGTGTTGTGTATATGTAACGTGTGTGTTGTGGATGTCTGTGTAGTGAATGTGTTTATATTTAGTGGATGTGGTGGATGTGTGTAGTGTGTGGTGAATATAGTGTGTGCGTGTAGTGTGTGGGGGTATGGGGGAGTGTGTTGTGTGTGGTGAATGTATGTGTGTGTTTCTCGGTTGTTTTGTGTATACATGTCCTGTGTCAGATGTGTGTGTATGTGCTGAATGTGTGTATATGTAGTGTATGTTTTGTGGGAATGTAGTGGATGAGTGTGTATGTAGTGTGTTGGATGTGTGTTGTGTGTGGTGGTGTCTCTGTACTTGGGTGTACATGCGTGTACATGTAGTGTGGTATGTGTTGTGTGCACATGTACTGTGTGCGTGTGTGTGTTGTGTGTATATGAAGTGTGTGGGTGTGCATGTGATGGATGTGTATTGTGTGGGAGTGTGTGGTGAGTGTTGTGTATATGTAACGTGTGTGTTGTGGATGTCTGTGTAGTGAATGTGTTTATATTTAGTGTGTGTTGTGGATGTGGTGGATGTGTGTAGTGTGTGGTGAATATAGTGTGTACATGTAGTGTGGTATGTGTTGTGTGCACATGTACTGTGTGCGTGTGTGTGTTGTGTGTATATGAAGTGTGTGGGTGTGCATGTGATGGATGTGTATTGTGTGGGAGTGTGTGGTGAGTGTTGTGTATATGTAACGTGTGTGTTGTGGATGTCTGTGTATTGAATGTGTTTATATTTAGTGTGTGTTGTGGATGTGGTGGATGTGTGTAGTGTGTGGTGAATATAGTGTGTACATGTAGTGTGGTATGTGTTGTGTGCACATGTACTGTGTGCGTGTGTGTGTTGTGTGTATATGAAGTGTGTGGGTGTGCATGTGATGGATGTGTATTGTGTGGGAGTGTGTGGTGAGTGTTGTGTATATGTAACGTGTGTGTTGTGGATGTCTGTGTATTGAATGTGTTTATATTTAGTGTGTGTTGTGGATGTGGTGGATGTGTGTAGTGTGTGGTGAATATAGTGTGTACATGTAGTGTGGTATGTGTTGTGTGCACATGTACTGTGTGCGTGTGTGTGTTGTGTGTATACATGTATTATGTGGTGTGCATATACGTGTGATGTGCTTACACGTGTAGTGCGTATATAGTGTGTGTTGTGTGTGGTGAATGTGTCTGTACCTGTAGTATGTATTGTGTGCGGGGTGTTTGTGTGTGGTGTGTGGTGAAGCTGTATGTGTACATGTGGGTGGGTGTGCTGTGTGTGTGGATGTATATGTATGTTGTCTGTGTACACGTAGTGTATATTGTGAGGGGTCCTTTGTGTAACGTGTGTGTGGTGAATGTGTCTGTGTATGTGTACATGTGTGTAGTATGCATGTAGTGTGTGTGGTGGGTGGGTGTGTGTACATGTAGTCTCTGTGAGTGTGGTGTGTGTACATACATGTAGGTGTATAGTGTGTGGTGGGTATATGTGTGTACATGTGTGTGTGGTGGGGAGTGTTGTGTATGTGATGTAGGTGTGTTATGTGTGGGTGTGTGTTCTGTATGCATGTAGTGTGTGTAGTGTACATGTAATGTATGTGTACACATGTATGTGGTGTGGGTGTGTGTTGTGTATGCATGCAGTGTGTGTGTACATGTAGTGTGCATGTTGTGTGGGTGTGTGTACACATTGGTGTGGGTGTGTTGTGTATGCATGTAGCGTATGTGTACACGTATATGTGGTGGGGGTGTGTGTTGTGTATGCATGCAGTGTGTGTGTACATGTAGTGTGCACATGTAGTCTGCATGTTGGGTGTGTGTGGCATGTGTACACATGTATGTTGTGTGGGTGTGTATTCTGTTTGTGTACATGTAGTGTGCATGTTGTATGGGTGTGTTGTGTGTGTACATGTGTGCATGTGTGGGTGTGTGTACACGTGTATGTGGCGTGAGTGTGTGTTGTATATGCATGTAGTGTGTGTGTTGTGTGTGTACATGTGGTGTGCATGTGTGGGTGTGTGTACCCGTGTATGTGGCGTGGGTGTGTGTTGTGTATGCATGCAGTGTGTGTGTACATGTAGTGTGCATGTTGGGTGTGTGGCATGTGTACACATGTATGTTGTGTGGGTGTGTATTCTGTTTGTGTACATGTGTGCATGTGTGGGTGTGTGTTGTGTATGCATGCAGTGTGTGTGTTGTGTGGGGGTGTTGTGTTTGGTGTGTTGTGTGTGTGTGGTGATTATGCAGTCGTGCCCCTGCCCCCCTGGCCATGTCACGTTTTAGGGGGCCCTGCACCCCCCCACCGTGGGGGGGTTCCCCACTGTGAACTGGGAGGGGCGGTGATGTGTGTCTCAGTGGTGTCAGGACCTGTGTGCCTGGCCTGCTGTGTGACTGCGTGGAGCCCCGCCACCTTGTGGGCGACCGGTGGGGGCTGGATGAGACGAGCCCTCTGGCCCTGAGACCTCCAGTAACAACTGTGTTCCTTCCGTTTGCACCAACAGAAGCAAGACAAGATCCCTGACCGGTCGTCGGCACTGGAGACGGAAAAGCGGGTGCGTGTGCATCGGGGAGGCAGGGCTTCTGCGAGGCTGTCCCAGTGGGTGCTGGTCTCTCTGCCTCCGGGCGGCAGTTTGGTTGCTGGTCCCGAGGCGGCCTTTGAGCTCAGGGCAGGGGTCTGGGGGGCTGTTGGCATCACTGGGGCAGGTGGAGCTGTGCAGACTCACCTGCCCGCAGAGTGCTTGCCGCAGTGCCCAGGCGCTCCCGCTCCCCTGAACAGAAGCGGAGTTTTCAGCAGCGCCTCCGCCGTGGGTGGAGGTCTGATGACTTAGAACGCGAGCAGACAGCCTGCTCACTCTGACCGAGGGGAGGGGGCTTCTCAGTCAGCTGCTGACCCCTCCCAAGCACACTTAGGATCTTTCTGGGGGTCAACGTTGTCGGGTTGGAAGAAGTCAGATGTACTGATGAACCCCAGCATCGCCTTGACCTGGGGTATAAAATACGTTCCCATTTCTCCTGTTACCGTGTTTAATTTGGAAAGCAGCTCAGTTTTACGTTCGATTCCCACGGCATGGGGTTCTGGCTACACGGGGCCAGAGGGACAGCCTTTTGACTGCCTTCTGAGTCCCATGGGGTGCTCAGCGTCTTGCTCTGTTGAACAGGAGAGGCGGGCCCTGGAACGGAAGATGTCAGAGATGGAAGAGGAGATGAAGGTATGGACAGATGTGCCTGCGGGCAGCCACGGGGCCCGTGAGGGGCACGCGGTGTGGGTGAGGGGAGCCTGGGCCTCGCCCCTCAGAACCCAAGGGGGCATCTCACTGGCTGGGGCAAACCTGAACTGAACCCAGAGGGTTTCCTCTGAGGGCTTCCCCCAAGGGGCTGGATGAGAGGACAGAGCTGGACTTCCAGCTCCAGCCCTGAGGACAGGCCGCAGGTGGGGCCGCTCTGGGGTCCTCCGCCTGGACCGTTCGGGGGTCTGGGGAGCTGCAGCGACCATCCCACCATCATTCCTCAGGCCCTGGGAGTTGTACACACGGGCACAGGATGGTGGGGGAGGCAGGACTGTGTCAGACCTGGGCGTCAGGCAACAGTGAGGGGGCTGCACACTCGTGTGAAACACACTCGGGCTTCCTCCCTGGGAGCCAGAGGCATCAGGCTGTGAGCTGAGCCCTTTGCAGGAGACCTTCATTGTTCCCATGGCCTAAAACGGTTGGTTATTTACAAAAAAAGTTGCCCAGGGCCTGATGAGGTCAAAACTGATGTGATGTCTGGTGCCGGGAGTCCCATCGGTCTGAGCGGCTCCAGCACACGGGAGGCTCAGCATCCCAGGGAGGACGGGCCATGCTGCCGGGCGGTTTCGGGCAGGGCCCACCTGCATCTGCAGCAGGGCTGCCTCTCCTGAGGGCGTGGGGCCCGCGCTCCCCAGCTGCTGGCTTCTCCAGACACACCGCCTGCCGCTCAGAGCGTGCCCCCGCATGGGCAGCACGTCCACGCGCCAGTCCGCAGGGTGGGCCTTGGTTCCTCGGGCTCTGCCGCTCTTGAGCTACACTGTCTGGGGCTGCTGTCAGGGCGCTCGTCAGGGAGCAGGCTGGCACTGAGGAGGCGCATGGGCACGGCCCAAGCTGGGACTCTGTAAACAGGGCCCTCCGGAGCTGGGCCCCACCTGCTCCAGGCCAGGCTGCCGTCTAGTCCGGAGGGGAGCCGCTGGGCCTGCTCCCGCCCGTGTGGGAGCCCTCAGGCTGCAGCTGAGGCAGCTGGCTCTGTCTCCTCCCCTCGGCCTGCGGTTCCCTCAGCGGGGTCACGAGGCTTTCTCTTCTCTGGATCGAGGTGGGCATATGGGCAGTGCCCCACGAGGCCTGGCTTCTGTGCTGGCCGGCTGGAACCAGGTGGGGCCTGTGCGTGACTGTCTGCGCCCTGGGCAGTAGGCATGCTGACCAGAACCTGGTTTTTCATGTGGCCACCCTGTTCTCACGGCCAGCCGCGGACCCTGGTCACACCTGCACCCTGTTCCGTTCATACATAAGCTCAGGCCCTGCAGGCGTGGTCACGGGGAGCGGGGTGACCTCCAGGGAGCCCCAGGAAGCGGGAGGGGCTCAAGGACAGGTGGGGCTGGGGCCGGTTTCCTGACTCCAGCCCCCAAGGGGGGCTGGCCCACAGGTGTGGGCTGTGCGGCTGTGAGTGCCTGAGCCTTGCTGGCCTTCTCTTGGAAAGGTAGGTGTCTCTGGCTCCCCCAGAGAAACCACACGCGGCTGGGCAGGAGGCCCAGTGTGTCCGCCTCTGCGGGCATGCCGGGCAGCGCGCCGATGGGCCTGAGAGCTTGGCCAGGGCAGCTGCCACCCTGCCTCAGCCTCCTCCCCTCCTACCCTCCATCCCCGCACCCTCCTACCCCTCCCTACACCTCCTCCCCTCCCCCATCTCCTCACCCCTCCCCTCCCCTCCCCATCTCCTCACCCCTCCCCCATCTCCTTGCCCCTCCCCTCCCCTCCCCTCCCCCATCTCCTCACCCCTCCCCCATCTCCTTGCCCCTCCCCTCCCCCATCTCCTCACCCCTCCCCCATCTCCTTGCCCCTCCCCTCCCCCATCTCCTCACCCCTCCCCCATCTCCTGCCCCTCCCCTCCCCCATCTCCTCACCCCTCCCCCATCTCCTTGCCCCTCCCCTCCCCCATCTCCTCACCCCTCCCCTCTCCCATCTCACCTCTCCATCTCACCCCTCTCTCATCTCCTCACCCCTCCCCTCCCCATCTCCTCACCCCTCCCCCATCTCCTCACCCCTCCCCTCTCCCATCTCACCTCTCCATCTCACCCCTCTCTCATCTCCTCACCCCTCCCCTCCCCATCTCCTCACCCCTCCCCCATCTCCTCACCCCTCCCCTCTCCCATCTCACCTCTCCTCCATCTCACCCCTCTCCCATCTCATCCCTCCCCTATCTCCTCATCCCCCTCCTATCTCCTCGCCCCTCCCCTCCCCCATCTCCTCACCTCCCCCCCACATCTCCTCACTCTTCTCCTCCCCCATCTCCTCACCCTCCTTCCCTCCTCTCCCCTCCCCTCCCCTCCCCCGGGTGCTGGCATGGGAGGCCTGCAGCCGGTCCCTGTGGACACTTTTCTTGGAGTTTTGTTTTCCTGCTCTGGAAGCATCCCTGGTTGACCCTGGCCCCCTGCTCGGCTGCTCCCTGCCATGCCTGTTCTCAGCCCTGCTCCCTCAGCCACATTCTTCCCCTCGACCCGCCTGTGCTCGTGGGTTCTGAGAGTCCTTCTCCTAGTTGAACGCCACTCTCGGAGGCAAGGACGACTTCACGGAGGGACCGTGACTGCCGAAAGCCCTGGTCCCGCAGCCCCAGGGAAGGGGCGGCACTGTGGACTGTCCACGGGTCCTTGCGCCTTGCGCTGCACCGTGACCCACTCACCCTCTCGCTGAGAGGAGCCCCTGACCCGGCCCTTCTGGGCTCCTGGGAACCGTGGGCCGCCCTCCCACGGAGGTGGCGAGTCTCCGTCTGTGGGCCAAGAGTCAGCATCTGTCTGCGTGTGTTTCCTTTTCACCATTTCCCCTTCGTGCTGCCTCTCGTTTTCTTCTTTCACTCCTGAAAAACTAGCCTCTCTGACCTTCCAATTCTGTCCTTCCCCTCTGCATAGGCAGAAGAGACCCTTCTCTGGTGCCTGGCGACCTGTCTGTAGTCACGTAACCCACAGGTCATCATCTCCATCTCTGAAGTCCGTTCTCGCAGCGAGACCGTTTTCTCCCTCTCAGAGCTGATGGTCTCAGCTTCAGGCTCAGAGGCCTGGTTCCCACCAGGGCTGGTCCAGGCAGGATCCTGTTTATCGCTGGCCGTAGTCCTTTACGGGACAGCCATGGGCGCGCTACCCTGCTCCATCCACCCCACTGTCCCGGGTGACTGCTGGACGGGCCTGGCGCCGGTCACTCGTCTGCTTTCTGAGATGAGGTCCCAGCCCTGAGCCCGGGCAGGGGGCAGGTCTCCACCCTGGCTTCCGGGCAGCAGAGCAGGCCTTGCTGGGGCCAGTGTGTCTGGGGAACTTCAGGGCCTGCTTCAGGAGCGCCTCCCACAGGCCTCACTCCACTTAAAATGAAACATAAGGGAGGTAATAAGGACCCAGAGAGGAAACAGATGGGAGTTGGGAGCCAAGTTCTTGGGAGGACGTGAGGAGGGGGCAGCAGGGCAGCCCCGGACACCAGCCCCCAGACTCTCCCCTGCTCCAGCCAGCCCCCAGCCCCGCCTGCCCACCCACCACCTTCCGCCTCACCTTTCCTTCCTTGCATGCAGACTAAAAGCAGAAACAGAAAGTCATGTGACTTCTTTGTCCCACTCTTCTCTTCTCTGGCCTGTCCTGTCTGTCTGTCCGTCCGTGTCTCACTCTCTGCAGAACCTCCACCAGCTAAAACAGATTCAGACCTTGAAGCACATGAATGAGCAGCTGCAGGCCGAGAACCGGGCTCTGACCCGCGTTGTGGCCAGACTCTCGGAGGCCGTCGAGGGCTCGGACCCCCAGGGGCTCTAGTCCCGCCTCCCCCCCCTCCACTCCAGGCACGTTCCCTCTGTTGTCAGCCTCGGGCTCTGCATTTGCCCCCAGAGCCTACGCGTGTGGGGTCTGTGAAGGTTGGTGGTCTGCAGGCGCGGGGCAGGGGCCTGGCCTGGGCCCTGTTGAGACTCTTCCCTCAAGGTGGCCACGTGGGTCCGTGGGTCCTGGCCTGTGTGTGAACATCTGGGGGAGATCGGGCTCTCAGTCAGCTGTGACCCCAGTGCAGCCTGTTCCCTGGAGCGATCAGGTCGGGCCTAGGGTGACTGTGACCAAGGGCAGGGGCTGCGGGCTCAGACGCCCAGGGCTGGGTCCCACACGCTGGTCAGCCTCCGAGCTGAGGTCCGGGGTGTCTAGAGCTCCTTGTCTGTTCTTTGTGCCCAGAGCGAGCTCTGGGCAGGGGCTCTGAGCCTGTTCCTCTCCACCCACCTCCTGCGCTGGGTCTTGCCTTCTTCTCCCGTCGTGGGGGCCGTGTCCTCCTGCGCATCACAGGTCTGGGTCTGGGGCAGGGCCCCCTCCCACGGCCAGGCCCTCCCTGACGGGGCCACAGACAGGTGGCTGTGAGCGGTCACCGGAGGACTAGGGACTGCGTCCACTGGACTCAGAGGCTCTCCCTCACGTGGTCTGAAGACCAGCTCATGGTTGGCGTGTTTCCCGCCGAGGTGGCCTGAGGGGTCCTCAGTGCTGTGCAGTCTCACTCTCTGAAACGAGTTTTTAATTTCCAGCAACAATCTCATCAGTCCCGACTGAGGCCTGCTCTTCTTTCTGTCTGTCTGCTGTACCTGTGGGTCAGTAGCTGGCAGCTAGCACCCGCCGGGTCTGAACCCCCTCCCCCCATTCCTGTCAAGCATGCTGTGGGTCCCCCCACCGGGCGAGCAGCCCCCGGCCTCCTGGGAAGGTGCATGAGGGCCACGCTCCACTCAGGGAGATCAGCACTTGACTCGGGGTAAACTGGGGGCCCCAAAAGATGGCCCAGTTTTCTCAGTCCCCCTCTCGTGCGGAAGTTCCCGGGCCTGGCTGGGGCTGGACCCCACACTGGCAGGGCTGGGGACCCCGGGGCCAGTGGTCATCTGTGTGGGCCCGTGCCAAGCTCTGTGGCCACACGTTCCCATTCAGTGAGAGACCAGTCAATGTTCTCGTGGGAAGAACCGAGTCTTCTGAGTCAGAAGTGACTCGCCCCAGGTCACTGGGAGAATGTGGGGCAGGCCGACCTCTGCCGCCTGAGCGCCAGCCTCTCTGGTCGGTTTGCACCCCTTCCGTCCTTTCCGAGGGTTCCCGGACTGTCAGCAGAAGCTCGGGCGGCTGAGAAAGCGCCTCGGCCTAGTTTTCCCAGAGAATCAAATCTTAACCTGGAAGTGAATCTCCCGAGAGTCGAGGCCGTGTTTGTACGTGTTTTCAAAAAGGGCAGTTCAGACCCGACCTGAGAGCTCCTGGCGGTGACGCGGCCGTCCCCACATGGAGCTTCTTCCTGCCCAAAGCCTGCTGTGGGAACATGGCTGGGCATGTGCCGGCAGCCTGGGGGGCATGTCAGGGGGCCTCTTACAGCCTCTCGGCCCAGGCCTCTGAGCACTTGAGGCTGAGGGTGGGCAGGGAGGCCGTCTGGGCTCTGATGGGGCCGGGGTGGGCGTCACAGGGGCGCAGAGGATCGCCCTGCTCTGGTGCATCTGGATCAGCGCCCTCCTACACACCATGCCACAGCTGCGGGCCCCTCGGAGTCCCTGCTTTGTGGGGGACCAGGGCAGGGGCAGGCCTTTCTAGATACAAAGTGGTAAACCCAGAGAAGAGAGCCGGGTGCCTGATGTGGCCCCACATCTGCAGCGTCAGTGTCGGCCTTCCCATGAGGGGCTGTGCATGGATGGTGACGCTGGGCTCCTGTCCATGCCTGTGGCTGTGAGGTTGGCTGTATTCCAGCCCGAGGCCGTCCTGACACTCCAGACACCCTCTGTTCTCTATCAGCGCTTCTGTCTGCGGTCCACACATGTCTGTCTACGACTTAGCCTGCTCCATCTGTGAGGGGCTGAGGGGGCAGTCCCATCCTTTGCGGGGTCACACTGGTCCCTGAGTGTCAGCAGCCGAGCCAGACCTGGAGTCAGCCGCAGGAGCACGGCCCAGCAGGGGCTGTAGGCCTGAGTGACTGAGCAGAGGACGTCTTCCCTGAGCGGATGGGAGTAGAGATTTCGGTTGCCCTCGTGGTAAACAGGTTCTCTATCGCACCCAGCACCTGCACCCCGCCTCCCGTACCAGCTGCATCCCTGCAGGGCCATCAGGGCGCTCAGACCCCATGCCTCCCATGAGAGCGCCCGGCCTGGGCTGGGGGCTGCTGCTCCCTTCGTCCCACAGGTCGAGCAGCCGGGTGTGAGGGTCCAGGGCTGACGGAACAGTGCGCCCGCCTCCCATGGCAGCCCCAGCCCCGAGCGCCACAGCCCCGGGGGCCGCAGTGGTCCCGTCCCCAGGCTGCAGCAGTGGGACCTTCACGTCGTCCTGTGTGTGAGCGGAGGCCCGAGCTGTGCCCCCCGCCTCCTGCCTCCCCCACCACCCTCCGAACGTCTGTGTCCCCAGCGTGTGCCTGCCCCAGATTCTCCGACCAGAGTGCTCCCAGGGAGGACACAGGAAACAGTCACTCGCCCAGGAAGGGGAGAGGGTGTCCCTGCCGCAGGGCCTGAGCCGACACTGGCCACCCTCACAGAGCGACGGGTCTGCGGGGGTCACGCCAGCCTCGTGCCTCTCCCTCCGCCCCGCAGGTCCTGACGGAGCTGAAGTCGGACAACCAGCGGCTGAAGGATGAAAACGGAGCCCTCATCAGGGTCATCAGCAAGCTGTCCAAGTAGGCCCGGCCGGGGCTGACGGGGGCGCGCGTCCGTGCCCGCCCTCATCAGGGTCATCAGCAAACTGTCCAAGTAGGCCCGGCCGGGGCTGACGGGGGCTCGCGTCCGTGCCCGTCCTCATCAGGGTCATCAGCAAACTGTCCAAGTAGGCCCGGCCGGGGCTGACGGGGGCGCGCGTCCGTGCCCGTCCTCATCAGGGTCATCAGCAAACTGTCCAAGTAGGCCCGGCCGGGGCTGACGGGGGCGCGCGTCCGTGCCCGTCTGCGCTCGCCGGCCAAGCCGGGACCTGTCTCTGCTGCCAGCCGCCTTCGCACCCTCATCGGCCCCCCAGCGCCCCCGCCGGCTCAGACAGTTCCCACCAAGGCACCACGGCGATGCTCGGCCAGCTGGGCATCCGGAGGCGGCTCGGGGTTGCCAGGCCCGCCTCAGACCCGGCCTCCCGCCGCCCGCCTGCTCGCCCGTGTGGCGCCTGGCCCGGGCGGTGAGCCCCCCGCAGCGGGAGCTCCAACGTCGGGTCGCCCGGTCCGAGGTAACGGCAGCTCCGTGAGGGGCCGCTCGCCCCTGCCTCTCAGGACCTGACTTTGCTCTGAGTCCACGCGGAGATGCTGGTGCTGGCAGTGTTTCCACCAGCCTCCTGGTGACGTGACTGTTGCAGCGCCCACCCCAACCTCGGGTGACCGCGTCTCTTAGACCCGCATTTGTCCCCCATTTCTGTGTGCCCCCGCTGCGCGTGCGCGGGGTGCAGATGCTGGCCAGGCTCCACGAAGCCAGGCCGGGCTCTCAGCCCGCCTGTCCCCCCGTCACAGCAGCTTCTTCACCAGAAAACCTGCCTCGGTTCCGTTGACTTGATTTCCCATCCTGAGGGCTTCTGAGGGGCATGGGGCGGGCTGATGGAGGCAGGCGTGAGTGGGGTCCACGCCCTCGTAACAAGGAGCCTCTAGATCGGCTGACTTGGTGACTGTTGGTATGTCTGGGGAGAGGCACTCGCTTGCTTAGGAGCAGCAGTGAGTCCAGGCTCTGGCAGGGGCAAGGCCCCCCTCCATAGCCGTGTCCAGGGACCCCACCTTGGGTCAGGGAGCTTTGGGGGTTGTGCCTCGATCACTGGAAAGTTGGGAGACGCTGATAACCAGAAAGGTTCCTGGTGGGAGTGGAGGTCTTCCTGACATGGGAAGGTCACGGGAGGTCTTCCCCCTGTGACATGCCAGCCCTACCGTGCATAGTTGGGGACCCTGAGCTCCATCCCCACATGGCCTGCTCTCCTTGCTCCCTGCTTGTCCCATCGTAGCCTCCTCCCCCAGACAGAAGCCTGGACGGACCACCCCCTTGGTCCAGCACAGAGTTCGGGCGTGAGTCCTTGGTGATGCCTTGGTGTCAACACTTAACGCGTGTGCTTTCTGTCAGAGTTTTGTCCCTCGGCTGGTGTGAGCGTGCAGGTCAGCTTTGGGGCTGTTCTTGACATCCGGTGTGTAGTCGTCAGCAGATGCTGTCTGTCAGAAATCAGAGTGCCCCAGCTCCTCCGTGGCCCTCAGAAGCGCCCCATACTCCTTAACGCAGAGCTATGATCGATCAAGTCACAGTTCCAGACAGGAGGTCTGTCTTCTGGGGCAAAACTGCTTTCTCAGGGCGTGCAGACCCTCCCCATGCACACGATGGGGCATCTGACCCTGGGGATGGGCGGGCCGGGGGTGACGCCGCGTCGAAGCTCCAGTGTTCAATGCAGCACCCCTTTGTTCTGGGGGACCCCACAGGGCCCTTGACTCTGACCACTGACCCCCGCCACGGGGCTGGCTCTCAGGAGGAGGAGGCTGAGTGGGAGGGGTCACCCTGCCCTTCTCACGTTGGGCAGAGTGGGCAGAGGGGCTGCGGCTGTGCCTCTGGGCCACGGCGCCCCCTGCAGCCCTCGTGTGTCAGACAGGCCCCAGCTCGGGAGGGCGGGCCTCAGGGCTCACCAGCTCACTCTCGGAGACCCTGAATCCGGTCTCCTTCCAGGCCATGCGGGTCTAAGGTGGTGGCCAGGGCCTCCTCACTGCTCCTGGGGCTCCGGCTCGTCTCCACGGCGCCTGAGCAGGAGGTCAGCGGCTGGGAGGGTCCTAGTGGTGTGGTGTGTGGTTTTCAGGGAGGCCGCCTGTCCAGGCCAGATGAACAGGCCTCGGGCTGCAGCCTGGCCACTTCGCCACCCCGTCCCCGAGGCCGGTGCTCCCGGGTGCGGACCGGGCCCGGCTCCCCCCCCTCCCTGCCCCCCGCAGGTCATTGGCTCCCCGGCCCCGCCCCTGCCTCAGGGAGGGGGCGGGCAGTCAGTGGCCCCGCCCACCTGAGCGTCAGCCGCCAGGATGGACCCAGCAGCCCGGTTCCGCCCCCGGTTCCCAGCCAGGCTGCTGGCGCGGGGGCCCGACGGGGTGGGCGCTGCTGCGGGTGCGAGGCAGTGGGGACAGCACGGAGGGGCTTCCCAGGGCCGCAGCCCGCGTGCCTCCGGCGGGAAGCAGGGAGGGCCCAGCTCCACCCGGCGGGGGAGCCTCTGGTGGCGGGCGTGGGCGGTCCTCCGGGTCAGGGCCCAGTGGGCAGTACCGAGCGCTGTCCCCATGCTGAGCTTCAGGGCGGGTGTCAGTACCTGGGAGGTGAGTCCTCGGGCACCGTGAGAAGGCAGGGGCACGGCAGAAGGAAGCGTCTGGAAGGACAGGGTCGGGCATTGGGTCCTTGGGGCTGGGCCTGCCCCGGGCAGCTGTGCCGCTGCGCTGGGCTGGGGTCGGGTCTAATAGACCTGAGAGTCCGTGATTTTTTTGATTCCTAAGGAGACCAGATAATTTCTCACACTCAGATTTTGCTCATTCTAACGTCATAAATTATTGTTTTCTTCTCCATTCAAACTGTTTTAAGTGTGTGTTTAAGCGGGAGAGGGAATTCAGCGTGGAGAGCAGTGGCTGTACCCGCTGGTGGCCGGGCGAGCCTCTGGATAAACGGCCCTCCCAGAGCGGGTGTGGCTCCTGGTGGCCCTGGGCCGCGTTTCTCTCCAGCGGCCGCCCCGTCTTAGCTCTGCCTTAGGCAGCGGAAGACCTTCCTGGGTGGGGACCAGCCTCAGTCCTGGGGGCTGTCGGGGCTGCCCTGGGCCGAGGTCCCGGCCTGGAGCCGGGCTGCAGGATGGAGTGTGCAGCCCCCTTCGAGGACTGCGTCTGTCGCCTGTGCTGACTCCTGGGGGCCTGGGAGCTGTCACTGCCGCGGCTCCTGGGGAGTGAGCGGGCTCCGGAGTGAGGAAAGGCCAGACAGAGGCGGCGCCGCCTCCTAGGAGGCTGGGCTGGACGGCCTGTTGGGAAGAAGACTGCAGACAGAAGCCTCTGAGAGTCTGGTCCCCCTGAGGGGTGCTGCGCTCGGGGGTCGCTCTTGCTTCCAGCCTGTGTGTAGCGTGTTTGCTGCTTGGAGACGGCACAGCCTCAGCCCGTCTTCCTCCGGCCCTGTTAACTCACGTCTTTGCCCCCCGCCGCCCTCCCCTCTGGGCCGCTCGGGTTCCTCTGCTCGCCGACGGGGACTCCAGAGTGGTCTTTGCCTTGGGTGGTCCCTTAAGGTGGCCTCGGGAGGCGCCTGTGTGCTTCCAGAACAGACATGCCTTCCACCCTCCCCCGCCCTCATCTTCTTCACGCTCAGTCTTTGCTTTTCTCGGAGCCCGTGGTGCTCAGAGGAGGGGCGGTTTTCCTCGAGTCGCCCCAACTTGGGTTACAGAGCTCCCTCCTGTGCGCGTGCCCTAGGCGGGAGGCCTGGCCTGGCAGGGGCCTGGGGGCGGCCCTGCTTCCAGCTGGAGGCGCCTCGGTGGTCTCGGGTGCTGGAGGGGCCCCGGGCTCCACCCCCTCCATCCCACCCGCCATCCTGGGAGGGAGGACCGGCCTCGAGCCAGGCCCCCTGGAGGTGGGGCCCTCTGAGCCCCCAAAAGGCCGGCTGTCTGGTCGGGAGGGAAGACTGTGTCCCCCACAACCTGCCGCGAGGGGCTCTGCCTCAGGCTGTGGCTCTGGTCCCCGTCCCCCCACCATCCCCTCTGCGGCCTTGGCCAACTGGGTGGAGCGCACGTGTGAGAACTTCCCCGGGGTCCCCACGCCCCCGCCCGTCACCTCACCCCCCAACTCTCCTCCGAGACAGCATCTCCGTGTACACACAACAGGGGAACGTGTTCAGGGAGGAGCCCGGATGCACTTCGTGAGCTGAATGTATTTTTATGCAACTTTTGAGTGGCCTTTCAACCCTGAGGTGAATGGTTTTGTTTTACTGGTTGTTGTTATATAGTATTATTAAGTATTCTGTGTTTGAAAGTTTGGGAATAATAATATTCACGTCTGTATGATGCCTGTAAACACAACAGTATTTATAAATGAGTAAATTAAATTGTGTTTTAACTTTGTGATGGTCTCTGAGGTTTAGGAAACGGGGCTTATAGATCCTCACGTCTAGGCCAACCTGTGATATTTCTCCCAGGCGGCCTGACCCTGCTTAGTGTCCAAGTTCAGACACGGTCGGCTCGTTCGGGGTGGCGTCCCCACATCACCGGGCCGGCCGCGTGGCCCAGGGGCCCGGGGGGCGTCTGTGGGGCTGCCTGGCGTCCGGCGGTGGCCCCTCTGCCCTCCGCAGCGGAGTCTCAGGGCCACCGCTGGGTTGGGGGAGCCAGAGCCCCTCCAGACCTTCAGACTGTAAAGGCAGCTGATAGGGTCACCGGAGATGGTGGTGTTCAGCATGCGGCTGCCCAGGCCTGACCCTGCGTCCACCCCGTGCTGCCCCGCCCCCCCCCCCCCCGGTTTGTTCATGCCCTGTGGAGGCCCCGTCACCACGCTGGGGGCCGGGGAGGGGGCAGGCGCCTTGTCCCCGTGGTCGCCCGGCTGCGGTCCTGGACTCAGGGGCAGGTACGGAGCGAGGGCTCCTCACGGCCGGCTGTCAGTGGAGACACGTCACCTAGAGACCCGGGGACCGCTGCGGCTCGGCCGCTCCCTCCCGAGCCCCCCGGCCAGCCTGGAGGGCGCTCTGCCTTCTTGTTTTGGAGTCGGAACCAGATGCCCATGGTGCTCAGGGCCTGCCAGGACCCCCGAGGAGACCGCCACAGGCTGAGGTGAGGGGCAGTGTTGCAGGGGGTGGGGGGTGCTCCCTGTTCCCTGAAAAGCCCCAAAGCCCTGGCCTCAGAGGTCAGACATCTCGGGTTTCTCCCATGAGCTAACCCAGGGCTTGTAGGTGTCGACATTCCGCAGACCCCACGGGCTCAGCCTGCGCCTGTGCCCAGGCCTGCTCCGCTGGCTGGGGGGGAGGGGGGTGGCGCACCGGGGACCTGGTCCACCCCTCCTCCCTGAAGGCCCCCCCCTGCCAGAAGCTGCCCTGGGGGCCCCGTGCACCCACCGCCCCCCTGAGCCTGGTCTGGTCTCCCCAGCCCCTGAAGGCAGGCGCTGAGCCTGGGGCTGGGATCTCAGAGCCATGCCCACACCCCGCCCCGCAGGAACAAACAGAGACCCCCCACCCCCAGCTTGCTTTCAGCTCTTTTCTTTAATAAGGAGATGCTGCTCGTTACAAAAGAACAAATTGACGAGAGACCAGACAGAGTCCGTGGGGGGGGGGGGCGGGGTGCGGGGGGGCGCTGCCAAGCGGGGGCGGGGGGGAGCTGTACACGCGTCCTTCCTGTGAGGCGGGCTGGGGGTCCCGGTGGGCCGCACGCTGCAGGGGCCTGGGCCTGCTCACCCTGGCCTGGGGGCTTCAGAAGCCGTAGCGCTGGTGCTGGGACAGGAGGGGTCGGGGCAGGACACCCGGCTACTCTGAGGGGTCTGGGGTCCATCCTGCCCGCACCCCCTCCCCTGGTTTGTGGAGCGCGGGGGCCATGCCCCGCTGTGGCCTTGGCCAGGGTGGGCACCCCACTCGGGGGCTGCTGGCAGGGCTGCCGTCCTCTGGGTCCAACACGACAGCTCGGGGCTCAGGGTCCACGGTCCCCCTCCTGCCTCTCTTCCTCCCGAGGGGGCGGCGGGGCAGGGCTGGGTGTGGACGGGGATCCCTCACCCCCACCTCAGAGGAGCCGCGGCTGCCCACTCTTGGGGTGTCCCTGCCCAACGGCGGGAGCTGAGTGCACCTGTTCTCCAGCCCGGGGCCCTGCCCCCAGCCCCCCAGTGTCTCAGAAGCAGGGCTGCGTGTCCACCCAGGGGCATCAGGACCCGACCACAGGCCCAGCCACCGACGGCTCCCATGCATCCGGGCCGTCTCCACGGGCCCCCACATGGACCAGGGCCGGGGGCACACCGCTGGGGCCCCACCAGGAGCCCGGGACACCTGTCTGTCCGCGGGGCGCGGGGCAGGGGGCGGGGGGACAGCAGGCGAGCCCTTCACAAGTGTCCTGAGGGGAGCTGGTCAGAGGGGCCGGGGGCTCCGAGAGGGCGGCCCTGGAGACCCCCGTATGGCTTTTCAGTGATTCAGTGGGGGGAGGAGCAGACCACACGCAGGGCACCGGGGCAGCTCTGCACACGGACGTGGGGCTGTGGCGTCAGGCCGGCCGAGGCCGACTCCCCGGGCGTGGGGAGCTGAGGGAGACGCGGACTTCACACACGGGGTCAGGGGGCAGCTCGGGGGTGTGAGGCGGAGCTGGGCTCTGGGGGCGGCCATGCGGCTGTGGGCGTGGAGCTGGACATGCGTGGGCAGGGCGGGGCGGTGTGTGCACGGCTGGCTGCCCTCGCGCAGCTGAACGCGCGCGGGGGCAGAGGCTCGGCTGGCTTCAGAAGGCTCCTGTTCTGTCTCCAGGTCACAGGGTCCCCTTCCCAGCACTGCAGCTCGAAAACGGGTACAATCCCGGTGACCTGTCCCTGCCCCCCAGCTGGCAGGGCAGGAGTGGCCGCAGGATGAGGCTGCCCAACGCCGGAGCACAGACAGGCCAGTGGGTGCGGGAGTGTCCCGGCCAGCGCTGAGGGCGGACTCGCACATTGTTACTGGTGGTTTGTCTGAAACTCACATTTAACTTGGCATCTGGCCTGCGGGGCTGAGGGCCACCACCATCAGGCCCGGGACCCCAACGTGTCTGCTGCAACGGGGTGGGGGGGGGGAGGGAGAGCCTCTCTGGGGGGGGGGGGGGGCAAGAACTGACCCAGACCCTGCAGGACCCGGGGGGGGGGTGGTCTCCTCCAACCCTGCTCCCCACAGCCCCCCATGGGGACCCCGGCCCTTTCTGTGGGACCCAGAGCCCACCGCAGCAGGAGCGTGTGTGGTCTCCTGGGAGGAAGGACTAAGGCTGTGCTGAGACCGGCCCTGCCCCCACCCCCACACCCCCAGCCACTGTCGGAGGCCCTTCCTGGAGCCGGGAGCCCCTGCTTGGGACCGGGGAGGAAGCAGCTTGCGGCCCCCTCCGGTTTCGGGGGGCCTGGGTTTCACTTGTCACTCTCAGTCCCTCCGTCAAAGGCACCCCTGCTGCTTCCCTCTTGGTGACCTTCACTCCAGGGAGGGGGGACCCCGACACGCAGAGACAGGAGCATGCGTGCGTCACCAGCAGACACATCTGCTCAGACGGCTCCTCTGGGCCCAGCCGGCACCTGGCAGCACCCTGCTGCCCCCACCCCGCCCCTCAGCCAGCCCGGCGTCCAGGCTCAGGACCCCCCAGAGCAGCAGGCACATCAGGATGGAGGCCAGTCCTGGGCACAGGGAGGGGGTTCCTGGGGAAGCACCGAATCCTGCCGCTCTGTGGTCACGCAGTCCTGAAGGCAGGGCCACCCCCTCCCCACGCGTGAAGAGGGGCTCCCCGGGACGCGGCCCTTGAGCACGGCTGAGCCCCCTCCCCACCGCACGCGTGTGCAGCAGGGCCCTGGTGTCTTTCTCCGGTGGGGGCCTGCCCAGGACGGCCATCCGCCCGGGCGGGGGACACGGGATGACAGGGGAGCAGCTCCGGGCCGGGGGGCCGCGCGGGGGGGAGGGAGCCCGCCGGGGGTGGCGGGGGACACGGGATGACAGGGGAGCAGCTCCGGGCCGGGGGGCCGCGCGGGGGGGAGGGAGCCCGCCGGGGGTGGCGGGGGACACGGGATGACAGGGGAGCAGCTCCGGGCCCGGGGGGCCGCGCGGGGGGGACCCAGGCTGTGGGTGGGGAAGGAGACTCCATGCACACGGGACTCACGTATATATGGCTTTTTATCAACACTGGGGAGGGGCGAGCAGGGAGCCAGCATGGGGCCCCGGGGGACGACAGGAGGGCCACCGCTGCGAGAGCTCGGCCGGCCGGCCGCCGCCCCCCCGCTCACCTGGGCCCAAGGACAGGGCCTCCTCGGGAAGCCCCCATGTCTGCACAGACCGCGCTGCTCCACTGAGATAAAAGAGGAAGCGGGCGCGGGCAGGAGACTCCGCTCAGCGCTCGTCCCAGATGGGGGCCAGCACCCGCGTCTCCCACCCGGAGGCCAGGCTCCAGCAGGCCCGTCGCGGTCTCTCTGGGAGGGGCTCTTCTGTGTCTTCACGGTCTAACATCTCCCGTCCACAGGGTGAGGTGGCAGGACGGACAGACCCCCTGCGAGTCCAGCCACCAGCTCAGGTCTGTGGTGTCCCCACAACCAGCCTGAGGGGCGGTGACCTCTGCACAGCCCAGTCTCCACGCCTTGCCTCCGAAGCAGCCACTCACGGCGCCCTGCCGATCCAGGAGCCGGAGTGCCGGTCCTGTCTGGAGCCGAGCGGTGCTGCCGTCTCGGGGCGCCACACGCTCAGGGAACAGGAGAGGCCGCACTGCCGGCCGGGAGCACTGCCTCGGGGTGAGCCTGGGGTGCAGCTTCGCAGGAGCGGGGCGCGGGCATGCAGCGGGGACAGCTCCCGGGGCGGGCCGGGCGGGCCGCGCCACCTCTGGGGGCCCTCCTCCCTCGGCCGTCGGAGGGGAGGGTCCTTATAAAAAGGGGACGGGGGACACGACCACACAGACGGGCCGGGCGCCTCACGGGGGCAGAGCTGAGGCGCCCGTGGTTCTGGGTCTCGGCGGCGGCCCGGCCGCGGCCCTACTTGCTCTTGCCCAGCAGCGCGTCCACCTCCTCCTCAGGCTTCAGCGAGTGCCACTGCGCGATGGGCCGGCGGGGGTTGGCCAGCATGTCAGACCAGTGCCGCAGCTCCGTGCCTGTGGCGTTGCTGCCCACGAAGATCTTGCCGATGGCCTCATTCTTGCCCAGCTTGTCGTAGTCCAGAACGGTGACCACCACCTGCACCTTCTGCGGGAGGCGGGGAGGGAGGGTGGGCAGGAGTCCTCCAGTGGCACCCCCCAGCCTCCCCCTCCTTCCACCCAGACAGTCCTGTGGAGCCCAAGGGGCAGACCCATCCTTGCAGAGTGACAGAGCCCATGCTCGAGAGGCCTGCCGCCCGCACAAGGGGCAGCTCGGGAAGCGCCCAGATCCAGGCCCTGGGGTGGCGGCCATCTGTTCACCTGCCCGCGGGGGTCAGCGGTGAGCCCCAGCCCCGTGTCCAGCCCCACCAGCCCTGCACCTGGATCTGCTCAAAGGGGATCTCGAAGCTGAAGGACTCGTTGAAGTAAGGGTTCAGGGTCTTCTTCTTCACCGTCGTCTTCTTCTTCTTGAGCCTCTTACCATTCTGCATCAGGTGGATCTTCACGTAGGGGTCTGTGGGGCGCAGCAGGCAGGCCCTGAGCCCACCCCAGACCGCCAGCCCGGGGCCAGGGTGGTCACAGGCGTTGCCTGCACGACCCGCCGCAGCCTGGGGCTCGGTGAGGGGCGAGGGGCTCCTGGTGACGTCTGTCCTGGGCCGGGGACACACCTGGGACCCACCCCACCCGTCCTCCGATCTGGGCAGTGAGACATGCATGCTGGGAACCGGCCTGCCCAAGGTGACTCAGACCCCGAGCACTAGCGGAATCCAGGGCAGGCAGTCAGCCCTCCGGCCCAGCAGAGCCCTGCAGCCCCTTCCCGGGGGAGCCTGAGGGCTGGGGCCGCGGGTGGACCTCGGGCGCCGCCGGTGGCGGCCAGCAGCCCTGCACGCACCTGAAAGGCCACCCACGTCCATCTTCTTCAGGTTCTTTGCCTCCAGGATGCAGACGGTGAGCTTCCCGGCCGTGGGCACATAGCGCAATGAGGTGCAGATGTCCCCCAGCTTCTCCGGCTGCCAGGAGAGCGGGGTCCGGGTCATCTCAGCAACTGCCAGCACGGCTGACCCCTTGGGGCCTCGGCCAGGGGCACCCCAGCCCTGCCTGCGGCGGGCAGACCCTGGAGCTGTGGGCACCATCCCCGGAGGCTCTGAATGGACGTGGGGTCTGTGGGGTCCTCCCGGGGCTGAGAGGAGGGGGTGTGGGCCCTCCCCTGTTCTGATCACAGCCGTCCTGCCTGCAGCGTGCGCGGTGGTTTTCAGAGCCCCTGGTACCTCTCATCTGGTGTTAGTGCCACAGGGCAGGGGCCTCGTCACCAGAGAGGACGGTTGTCTCCACCACTGCCACGGCGCGAAGCCGAAGCGTCTCAGAGGAGGCCTCGGGGGCCAAGGCCGGCCACCTCCCCCACACCCAGGGGCTGGGTGACAGTCAGCTGGTGCTCAGAGGGCAGTGTCTAAACGGAGGCTTTGTGCACAGTGGGCGCTCATACTCAGTGAGTGTGTGAGCAAGTGCTGCAGCCACTTGCAGGAAGACAAGCCCCTGCTGAGAACCCGCTCAGACAGCGTGGGCCTTCCCTGCGGGCACACGAGGCCCCAGGTGGCTCGCTGGCCCGAGGCGGGCACAGAGCCTGGGGGAAATAGGAGCACCTGTAGTCCTGCCGGGCGGCTGACCTGCGGGACCCTGCCCTGCCTGCCCCACGCCCGCCTCACCTCCTCCTTCTCCCCGCCCTGCAGGTCCCGCCACTCCTCGATGGGCTGCCCCAGGTCCACTGTGTTCATGGGCACCTTCACCTCACCGATGATGTCGTGCTTGGAGAAGCGGTCGAAGTCATAGATGGCCATCACCAGGGTCTTGCCACCCAGCTCCTGGTATGGCACCTGCAAGGCACAGTTGGGATGAAGGTGTCAGGGCAGCTCCGGGGCGTCCGGAGGCTGTGGACACGGCAGAGACTCGGGCTCTGGTCCCCGCCAATCTGTTCTGGGCCTGGGTCATGGCCCCGGACACGGTCCGCCACGCCTCCCTGCCTGTCACCTTGAAGGTGAAGGTCTCATTGAAGGCGGGGTTCAGCGTCTTCCGATGGACTTTGGTCTCATATTTCTTCTTCTTGTCTGGAAGGAGGAAGACCTTGACATAAGGGTCCGAGGTGCCGCCCATGTCCAGGGCAGGCAGTTCCGCGGCTTGCAGGACGCCCACGGTGAGCTGTGAAGACAGTGGGTGCCCGTCAGCCCCCCAGGCCCCAGGGAGCCACGCACACGGGAGGCAGTGAGCTGCCTGAGGCCGGCACCGCGCCCGGGCCTTCCCTGGAGCTGGGCCCGTGCCCCCGCCCCCACCTGGTTGGCCTGGAAGTCGTAGTCCAGGGAGAACTGCAGCTTGCCCAGGTGCTCGGGCTCCTTCTCCTCCTCGCCCTCGCCCTCGCCCTCTGTCAGGCCCGTCTCCGCATCATCATCATCCTGGGGGGCTGAGAGAGCAGGGGGCATCAGGGACAGATGGGGGGCACCCCCACGCAGAGCCCACCCCGGAGCCGGCGGGGGCCCCAGTCCTCCCTGGGCAGGACGCCACCCTGGGCAACACGTACCAGGCATGTGGGCCGGGCGTCCAGGCCGGGCGCGTCCACAGGGAGAAGAGAGAAGGTGGTGAGAAACTCCGCAGCACAGACCAGCCCACGTGGAGCCGGGGGCTGCCCTGTACATGGGCCCCCCCACACACGCTGAGGCCTCCCGGGTCCCCCCCACGCGCACCCTGAGGCCTCTGGGCTCAGCCCTCCTGCCATCCTCCACGCTGACTCCTTCAGCAAGGTGAGGTGCCCAAGAGGAGACACCGGGACACCTCCGAGCTCTTTCTGGGCTGGGCCCCCCGGGAGACGGGCAGAGAGGAGCCCAGTTCGGGCCCCGGCCGGCCCACTGGCCCTGCAGGCGGGAACCCCAGGTCCCCGTCCCCCTGTGGGCTTGGCCTGGACCAGCCCTGCTGGCAGCGCAGCCCGGCCCCCCTACCTGGCCGCCCCGCATGTCCTTCATGTTCATGGCATTCTTGGCACCCTTGCCCTTCTCCTTCTTGTTCTTCTTCTTCTTGCAGCAGCACTTCTTGCAGATGCAGAAGCAGCAGGTGAGCAGCAGAAGGCCCGTGACCACGGCGATGGCGATCAGCGCCCAGGGGGGTACTGCCCATGGGGAGATGGGGTCAGCGGTGCCCGCCGGGCAGCCCACACCCCACAGTCAAAACCCAGACAGGCTCTGCCCATCATGACGCACCCTGTGCTCCCCCCGACCCCGTCACCCCCCTCACGGGGACCCAGCCGGGCTCTGCTGAGACGTGACTGGCTCACACGGAGGATGGGACGGCCCTTGTCAGACCTGATAGGGGTGGGGCAGCCTTCGTGTGTAGTGCTGAGAGGGCCGAGCTCCTTGGTGACCTCGGGGGGCGTGGGGCTGGCCCTCGGCTGCTCCCCCCAAATCTGGACCTTGGGTGTCCTCACCATCTTCACCAGGAATCCATGAAGCAGTTAGTGTAAGTCAGCCAGTTGTGTCCAAATCTTTGTGACCCCGTGGACTATACAGTCCATGGGATTCTCCAGGCCAGACTACTGGAGTGGGTAGCCACTCCCTTCTCCAGGGTATTTTCCCAACCCAGGGATCGAACCCAGGTCTCCCTCACTGGGGCAGATTCTTTGCCAGCTGAGCCACCAGGAAAGCCCAAGAATACTGGAGTGGGCAGCCTTTCTCTTCTCCAGGGGATCTCCCCCACCCAGGAATTGAACCAGGGTCTCCTGCATCGCAGGCGGATTCTTGACCTACTGAGCTATCAGGGAAGCCTTAGTGGGGAGGGGTTATTTTATAACAGAACTATTTCAAAGTGTAGCTGGAAGACTTCATCTTTAGGTTTCACGTCTTCTTCTACGTTGTTAAGAACATTCTGCCCAGGGAGGTGAGGGCTCATAAACTCCCTTGTTCCCTTCATTAGTGACAGACCACTCTGCCGCCCCCACCACCCCCGGTCCTGAAGGCGATCGCCAAATGATCCAGCCGAGAGCCCACAGCCATCTCACCCCCATGGCCCGCCCAGCACAGGGACACTCACGAGGGAGCTTGACGATCTCGTTGAAGAACCTCTCCTTGAGCATGGCAAACACGTCTTCCTTGCCCTCGCCCACACCCCCGCTCTCTGTGGAGTTGTCCACCGGGCCGGCGGGCGTGGCGGTGGTGGCGGGAGCCACCATGGGCTCCTGGTTCCTCTTGAAGATGCTCCTCATGGTGGCAGAAGGAACAGCTGCGGGTGAAGGAGGCAGGGTGAGCATCCCAGAGGCCCGAGCGCAGATGGCTCTGCCCACAGGCTGCGGAAGGCTCTTCCAGAAGCTAAGACTGTGGACAAAGGCCGCATGTGACAGCCCCACAGCGAACATCCTTCTGATGGTGAAGAACTGCAGCCTCACCTCTAAGATCAGGACCAAGACAATGGTGTCCACTCTCGCCACTGTTATTCAACATATTATTGGAAGTCCTAGCTACGGCAGTTAGAGAAGAACAAGAAATAAAAGGAATCCAAATTGGAAAGGAAGAAGTAAAACTGTCACTGTTCACAGATGACATGATACTATACATAGAAAATCCTAACAGTGCTACCAGAAAACCACTAAAGCTAACGTTGCACAAAATTAATATACAGAAATCCCTTGGTTCCTATACATTAACAACAAAAGAACAGAAAGACAAGTGAAGGGGAAAATTCCATTTACCATCGCATCAAAAAGAATAAAATACCTAAGAGTAAACCTACCTAAGGGGGCCAAAGACGTGCACTCAGAAAACTATAAAACACTGATGAAAGAAACGACAGACAGATGGACGGAGAGACACGTCGTGCTCTCAGAAGAATCAACATCGTCAAGATGAGTCTACTGCCCAAAGTAATCTACAGACTAAGTTCAGTGCAATCCCTATCAAATTACCAGTAGCACTTTTCACAGAATTAGAACAAAAAAATTCATAATTTTGGAACTTACGGAAACACAAAAGACCCCAAACTGCCAAAGCAATCTTGAGAAAGAAGAATGTAGCTGGAGGAATCGGGCTCCTTGAATTCAGACTAAACTACAAAGCTACAGTCATCAAAACAGTATGGTACTGGCACGAAAAACAGAAATCCAGATCAGTGGAACAGGGCAGAAACTCCAGAGATGAACCCACTCACCTATGGGCACCTTATCTTTGACAAAGGAGGCCAGCCAGAATATACAATGGCGTAAAGACAGCCTCTTCAATAAGTGGTGCTAGGAAAACGGGACACCTACATGTATAAGAATGAAACTAGAACACTTCCTAACACCATAACACAAAGTCAACTCAAGATGGATTAAAGACCTAAATGTAAGACCAGACAGCTATAAAGCTCTTCAAGGAAAACATACACATAAGTTTGACATAAATTGCAGCAAGATCTTTTTTGACCCATTTTCTAGAGTAGTAAGAATAAAAATAAAAATAAATGAGACCTAATTAAACCTTAAAACTTTTGCACAGCAAAGGAAACCATAAGCAAAAAGACAACCCACAAAATGGAAGAAAATATTTGCAAAGACTGACAAAGGATTAATCTCCAAAATATACAAATGTCTCATGTAACTCGACATAAATAAATTTAAAAGGGGGCAGAAGACCTAAACAGACATTTCTTCAAAGAAGACATACAGATGGCTAAAAAGCACATGAAAAAATGTTCACCATCAATAATTGTTAGAGAAATACAAATCTAAACTCCAGTGGGGTATCACCTCACACCAGTCAGAATGGCCAGCATCAAAAGGTCTACAAACTGAATCCTGGAAAGAAGGGAACCCTCCTACACTGTTGGTGGGAATGCAAATTGTTACATCCACTATGGAGAACAGTATGGAGGTTCCTTAAAATATTAAAAACAGAACTACCATATGACCCTGAAACCCCACTCCTGGGCATATTCCTGGAGAAAGCCATAATTTGGAAAGACACATGCGCCCCAGCGTTCACTGCAGCACTGTTCACAACGGCCAAGATGCAGAAGCAACGTAAACGTCCATCAACTGCAGTGGATAAAGAGGATAAAGTGCACACGGTGGAGTATTACTCAGCCCTGAAAAGGACAAACTGATGACCCTGCAGTGAAGTCAGTGGACCCGGAGAGGATCATACTGAGCGAAGTAAGTCAGACAAAGACGAATATATCACTCATGTGTGGAATGTAAAAGAAATGGGACAAATGAACTTACTTACAAAACAAATGTAGTTACAGATGTAGAAAATAAACATGGTTAACAAGGGGGGAAGGGATGGGAGGGATAAACTGGGAGATTGGGACTGGCAGATACACTCTGCTGTGTGTAAAATGGACATCTGAGGACCTACTGTGTAGCACACAGACCTACTCGGCACTCTGTAGGGGCTTATATGGGAATGAATCTAAAAAAGCGTGGCTCTCTGTGTATTATAATAGATGTGATACACCTGAAACATGATACTGTAAATCAACTACAATAAAAAAATTTTTTTAAGCTTTTCTTTACTTAATCCCTTTAAGTTCAAGGGTTCTTCCAGCAGCAGGACCCCTCGACTGGCATGCACCCCCAGGGCTGTGCAGAACCCCCTTAGTCACAGCCCCATTTCACAGAGGCAGAAACAGCCTGGGCACCCCCTCCCTTGCCCAGAGCACACAGACCACGCGGCTTTCCTGAATCTCATTCCACCCGAGCACACTGCCCAGGCGAGGAGCCAGCTCACAGTGAGAACCGAGCCTCCTCCCCGACCCGCACACAGGCGCCCGGCACCCCGCCCTCCAGACCGCCCTTGGCTCCATGCCACAGGCCCCCGTCCACACCCAGCCAGGGTGGGTTTCAGCCTCTGGGCCAGGAAGGCGGCACCCACGTCCATCCCCGGAGCCGCCCCCTCCCCAAAACAGCACGTTAACTTCCTGTTCCAATGAGTCACTCAGTTTTGTGTGGCTCTTCATGACCCCGTGGACTGCAGCCCTCCAGGCTCCTCTGTCCATGGGCTTCTCCAGGCAAGAGCACTGGAGTGGGTTGCCACGCCCTCCTCCCGGGATCTTCCTGACCCAGGGATCGAACTTGTGTCTCTTCTGCCTTGGCAGGCAGGTTCTTTACCAGTAGCACCACCTGGGAGTGTGGTATTCTGCATTTTTCACGTAAAATTTTGTCCCAAGTATTTTTGTTTATCATGACAATTTTCCTTTTCTTACTTAAACAGCTATATAACGCCCAGCTCCATGGTAACACGTACCCCATTTGTGTAGTCATCCACTGTTTGAGCTTGGGTGGTTTTCAAGTTCTTGCGGCTAAAGTAGTCTTGTGATGGTCTTCATTTAAGGTAATGTTCTTAGGAGTTTTTCAACTCTGCTCCCCTCCCTTCCCCACCGAGCTGTTTCTGCTGCTCAGAATTAGGCCCCCTGAGGTCAGGTGGGGCGGACATGACATCCCCCTGCCCGGCCACAGCAGGCACCCAGGGGCGCACCCCTGGGGATCCAGGCCATCAGACAAACAGCACAGGAATTTTACAATTCCCCCAGCACCCAGGGTTCTGCTGAGGGTTTAAGAGCCCGTGTCCTCGGCGGAGGCAGCGCGGCCACCCTTCGGCAGGGCCGCACCCCGCTCACTCCCCAGCTCCTTCCCATGCTGGTCCGACAGCCCCGACTGACCCGGAAACGCACCCTGAAGAGCAGGCGGAGCCCCCCATCCCTCCCTCCGGGGCCGCAGCAGCTCCTGCCCTGGCCCCTCACCCCCACCCTGCCGTCCGTGACCCTCCCCCCCCACCCTGACTTTAGAGGCTTGGCTGAAGGCGGTTCATACCCACGCGATCCACTCACTCGACGCTTCCATCTGGTGGTTTAGTATATTCAGAGGGTCGTGCGGCCATCACCACGACCCAGTTAGAGCGTTTCCACCAAAAAGGAGCCCCAGCTCCTCGCCGGCCGCTCCCCACTCCCTCCGTCCTCCCAGCATGGGCACGGTGGGCTGTGTGCAGACCCCCCGTTCACACGGCTCACACAGACGAGGTCACACCATAGGGGGCCTGGCATCCTGCTCCCCCACAGCACAGTGTCCGCAAGGGCGCCTCCTGGAGCCGCTGTCAGCACCTCCAGCACCTCATGCCTCTCTGTGGCCGAGGAATATTCCTCCACACCGCTCACACATTTATCCATTTATGGACATCAGTCACTTCCACTTTGGTTTCCTGAAGGATGCTGTAGTAAACATCTCTGTGCTTTCACCTCTCTGGGATAAATGCCTGTGAGTGGAGCTGCTGGGTCATACGGTAACTACATTTGACATTTTAAAGAACTACCAAACTTCCCCGAGCCACTGGGGGATCAGCATAGAAGTTCCTTAACAAACTAAAAACCGAGTCAACACATGGCCCCGCAGTCCCACTCCTGGGGATATGTTCAGACAAAACCTTAATTCAAAGAAGATGCATGCACGTCTGTGTCCACAGCAATGCTATGCACGACAGCCAAGACATGGAGGCCACCTAAACGCCCCTGACGGAGAAATGGGGGCGGAAGACGCGGTGCACACCCACAGTGGGGTGGTACTCAGCCACAGCGAAGAAGGAACTGACGCCACTTGCAGCCGTGTGGGTGGCCCTAGAGATCATCACAGTGAGTGAGGCAGGAAGACAGCCATCGCCAATGTGATATCACATATCACTCGTGAAATCTGAAGTGTGACGCAGGCGAACCAATTTACAAAATGGAAACAGACTCACAGCACACAGAACAGACTTGCGGCGTGGGAGGAGAGGAGGGCAGGACGGGACGCTGGGGTAGCAGGTGCCGACCATCTGTGCACAGCGGGCAGACCAGGCCCCCGCACGGCGCGGGAACCACGCTCAGCATGCTGCGACAAATAATAACGGAAAAAGATGCTTTACAAAAGAGTATATGCGTGTGTGGTGTGTGTGTGGGGGGTCTATATGTGGTGTGTGTGTGTGTGGTGTGTGTGTGTCTGTGATGTGTGTGTATGATGTATATGTGTGTGATACAGTGTGGGTGTGCTGTGATTTGTGGTGTGGTGTGTGTGGTATTAGAGACACCAAGGGAACATTTCGTGCAAAGATGGGCACAATAAAGGACAGAAATGGTAAGGACCTAACAGAAGCAGAAGATATTAAGAACAGGTGGCAAGAATACACAGAAGAACTGTACAAAAAAGGATCTTCACAACCCAGATAATCACAATGGTGTGATCACTCATCTAGAGCCAGACATCCTGGAATGTGAAGTCAAGTGGGCCTTAGAAAGCATCACTACGAACAAAGCTAGTGGAGGTGATGGAATTCCAGCTGAGCTATTTCAAATCCTAAAAGATGATGCTGTGAAAGTGTTGCACGCAATATGCCAGCAAATTTGGAAAACTCAGCCACAGGACTAGAAAAGGTCAGTTTTCATTCCAATCCCAAAGAAAGGCAATGCCAAAGAATGCTCAAACTACCGTATGATTGCACTCATCTCACTCGCTAGTTAAGTAATGCTTAAAATTCTCCAAGCCAGGCTTCATCAATATGTGAACCGTGAACTTCCAGATGTTCAAGCTGGTTTCATAAAAGGCAGAGGAACCAGAGATCAAATTGCCAACATCCGCTGGATCATCAAAAAAGCAAGAGAGTTCCAGAAAAACATCTATTTCTGCTTTATTGACTACGCCAAAGACTTTGACTGTGTGGATCACAATAAACTGTGGAAAATTATTCAAGAGATGGGAATACCAGACCACCTGACCTGCCTCTTGAGAAATCTATATGCACATCAGAAAGCAACAGTTAGAACTGGACATGGAACAACAGACTGGTTCCAAATAGGAAAAGGAGTACATCAAGGCTGTATGTTGTCACCCTGCTTATTTAACTTATATGCAGAGTACATCATGAGAAACGCTGGGCTGGATGAAGCACAAGCTGGAATCAAGATTGCCGGGAGAAATATCAATAACCTCAGATATGCAGATGACACCATCCTTATGGCAGAAAGTGAAAAGGAACTAAAGAGCCTCTTGATGAAAGTGAGAGAGGAGAGTGAAAAAGTTGGCTTAAAGCTCAACATTCAGAAAACTAAGATCATGGCATCTGGTCTCATCACTTCATGGCAAATAGACAGGGAAACAGTGGAAACAGTGTCAGACTTTATTATTTTAGGCTCCAAAATCACTGCAGATGGTGGCTGCAGCCATGAAATTAAAAGACACTTACTCCTTGGAAAGAAAGTTATGACCAACCTAGACAGCATATTGAAAAGCAGAGACATTACTTTGCCAACAAAAGTCCATCTGGTCAAGGCTTTTTCTCCAGTGGTCATGTATGGATGTGAGAGTTGGACTGTGAAGAAAGCTGAGCGCCGAAAAATTGATGCTTTTAACTGTGGTGTTGGAGAAGACTCTTTGTGGTAGTTGGAGAAGACTCTTGAGAGTCCCTTGGACTGCAAGGAGATCCAACCAGTCCATCCTGAAGGAGATCAGTCCTGGGTGTTCATTGGAAGGACTGATGCTGAAACTGAAACTCCAATACTTTGGCCACCTCATGGGAAGAGTTGACTGATTGGAAAAGACCCTGATGCTGGGAGGGATTGGGGGTAGGAGGAGAAGGGGATAACGGAGGATGAGATGGATGGCATCACCGACTCGATGGACATGAGTTTGAGTAAACTCTGGGAGTTGGTGATGGACAGGGAGGCCTGGCGTGCTGCGATTCATGGGGTCACAGAGTCAGACATGACTGAGTGACTGAACTGAACTGAATTGTGTGTGGTGTATATGTGTGTGGTATAGTGTGTGTGCTGTGTGTATATGCAGGCTTTTGTCAGACCCACCCGCTGGCCACAGGTCCTGGGCCTGCCCCGCCACGGTGGCCGGGGGAGGCAGCCTAGCTGGAACCCCAGGATGCCCACTGCTTCCCAGATGACGCCAAACAAGTCACTTTCTGAAACCCGATTTCCTCCAATAAAACCCGGAGAAAATCATACCTGTGTTTCAAAACTGCTGTGAAAATGACAAGAATAAACTCGATGGCGTCCACCTAGAGATGACAGTCAATGCCGGTGATCGGATCCGACCCCAGAGCCCCTGACACGGGCCCAAGCAGCCTGGCCCACGAGACCAGAGCCAGCCAGGGGCTTGGCGTCAGGCAGCCCCACAGACCAGCATCGGGGGAAGCCCGCCCAGGGGCCTTGAAGCCCAGGAAAAGGGGAGCAGAGGCGGGAGGCCATGCAGGGGCCCACAGGGGTGCGCTCACAGCCCAGCCCAAGGGTCTGGACCCGGACGGTAGGAACCAGGACACAGGACGGGGTGGGTGGGACCGTGCATTCACGGTCAACACCGACAGCGCACAGCCTGCTCCCAATGGAGCGGACATAAGCTGAACGTTCCGTAACCACACACGAATGAGACTGAAAGTATAGCAGTGAGGGATGCACAGGGCGGCCCGGGCTGGCTGCTCTGTGACAGGCTGAATCTGGCCCACTCTTGGGGAGCAGGAATGCCTTCCTGAGGCGCTGGCGGTGGAGGGGCCTCTGAGCACAGAGGGAAGCAGCAGGACGTGCGGAGGAGGCCCAGAGCCGGGAGGAGCCCAGCATGGGTGCAGGGCTCTGGCCGCAGGGAGGGCTGTCTTTCCCACAGAGGAAGGGGAAGCTGCTGGAGGGTTTACGCATGCATGTAATATGATCAGTGATCAAGGGATCAATCCAAGAAGAAGATACAACCATTGTAAATACATATGTACCCAACTTAGGAGCATTTCAATATGTAAGGCAAATACTAACAACCAAAAAGAGAGAAACTGACAGTAACACAATAATAATGGGGGACTTTAATACCCCACTTTCAACAATGGACAGATAATCCAGACAGAAAATTAATAAGGAAGTACAGGCCTTAAATGATGCATTAGACCATATGGACTAAACTTCTTATTGCAAAATTCAGACTTAAGTTGAAGAAAGTAGGAAAACCATTATGCCATTCAGGTATGCCCTAAATCAAATCCCTTATGATTATTCAGTGAAAGTGACAAATAGATTCAAGGGATTAGATCTGATAGAGTGCCTAAAGAACTATGGATGGAGGTTCCTAACATTGTACAGGAGGCAGCGATCAAAACCATCCCCAAGAAGTGCAAAAAGGTAAAACGGTTGTCTGAGGAGGCCTTACAAATAGCTGAGAAAAGAAGAGAAGGAAAATGCAAAAGAGGAAAGGAAACATATGTCCATCTGAATGCAGAGTTCCAAAGACCAGCAAGGAGAGATAAGAAAGGCTTCCTCAGTGATCAATGCAAAGAAATAGAAGAAAATAATAGAATGGGAAAGGCTAGACACTAGGCATCTCTTCAAGAAAACCAGAGATACCAAAGGAACATTTCATGCAAAAATATGCATGATAAAGGACAGAAATGGTATAGACCTAACAAAAGCAGAGAATAGTAAAAAGTGGCCAGAATACACAGAAGAACTGTGTACAATACAAAACAAAAAAAACCTTAATGATCTGGATAACCACCATGGTGTGATCATTCACCCAGAGCCAGACATCCCAGAGCGTGAAGTCAAGTGGGCCTTAGGAAGCACCATTATGAACAAAGCTAGTGGAGGTGATGGAATTCCAGCTGAGCTATTTCAAATCCTAAAAGATGATGCTATCAAAGTGCTGCACTCAATACGCCAGCAAATTTGGAAAACTCAGACTGGAAAAGGTCAATTTTCATTCCAATCCCAAAGAAGGGCAGTGCCAAAGAATGTTCAAACTACCACACAATTGCACTCATCTCACACGCTAGCAAAGTAATGGCTCAAAATCTTTCAAACTAGGCTTCAACAGTATGTGAATTGAGAACTTCTAGATGTATAAGCTGGATTTAGAAAAGGCAGAGGAATCAGAGATCAAATTGCCAACATCCGTTGGATCACAGAAAAAGCAAGGAAATTCCAGAAAAACACATATTTCTGCTTCATAGACTACGCTAAAGCATTTGAATGTGTGGATCACAACAAACTGGAAAATTCTTAGAAAGATGGGAATACCAGACCACCTGACCTGCCACCTGAGAAGCCTTTATGCAGGTCAAGAAGCAACAGTCAGAACCAGACGAACAACGGACTGGGTCAAAACTGGGGAAGAAGTATGTCGAGAGTATTCACCATCATCCTGCTTATTTAACTTATATGCAGAATACATCATGCAAAATGCCAGGCTGGATGAAGCTAGAAAATGCCAAGCTGGAATCAAGATTGCTGGGAGAAATATCAATAACTTCAGATATGCAGATGACACCACTTTTATGGCAGAAAATGAAGAGGAAATAAACAGCCTCTTGATGAAAGTGAAAGAGGAGAGTGAAAAAGCTGGCTTAAAACTCAACATTCAGAAAACTAAGTTCATGGCATCTGGTCCCATCACTTCATGGCAAACAGATGGGGAAACAATGGAAACAGTGACGGACTTTCTTTTCTCGGGCTCCAAAATCATTATAGATGGTGACTGCAGCCATGAAATTAAAACACGCTTGCTCCCTGGAAGAAAAGCTATGACCAACCTAGACAGCATATTAAAAAGCAGAGACTCCACTTTGCCAACAAAAGTCTCTATATTCAAAGCTATGGTTTTTCCAATAGTCATGTATGGATGTGAGAGTTGGACTATAAAGAAAGCTGAGCGCCGAAGAATTGATGCTTTTGAAGTGTGGTGTTGGAGAAGACTCTTGAGAGTTCCTTGGACTGCAAGGAGATCAAACTAGTCAATTCTAAAAGAAGTCAACCCTGAATATTCATTAGAAGGACTGATGCTGAAGCTCTAATACATTGGCCACCTGATGCCAAGAACTGACTCACTGGAAAAAGACCCTGATGCTGGGGAAAGATTGAAGGCAGGAGGAAAAGGGGACAACAGAGGATAAGATGGTTTGATAGCATCACCAACCCGATAGACATGAGTTTGAGCAAGCTCCAGGAGTTGGTGATGGACAGGGAAGCCTGGCGTGCTGCAGTTACAGGGTCACAAAGTGTCAGACACGACTGAGCGACTGAACAATAACAGAGCATTCCATCCAAAAGCAGAGATACGCATTCTTCTCAAGTGCACATGGAACGTTCTCCAGGGCTGACCACATGCTGAGCCAAAAGGCGAGCCTTGGTAAATTTAAGAAAATTGAAATCATAGGAAGCATTTTTTCCGATCATGACATTATGAGATTAGAAATAAACTACAAGAAAAAATATTAAACCAAACAAGTGGAAGCTAAACAATATGCTACTCAACAACCAATGGATCACTGAAGAAATTAAAGAGGCAATAAAAAAATACCTAGAGACAAAATGAAAACAATTATCCAAATGCTATGGGATGCAGCAAAAGCAGTTCTGAGAGTGAAGTTTACAACAATACAACATCACCTCAGGAAACAAGAAAACTTTCAAATGAACAACCTAACTTTACACCTAAAACAACCAAAGAAATAAAAAAAACCTAAAGTTAGTAGAAGGAAATAAATCATAAAGATAAAAGCAGAAATAAATGCAACAGAGACAAAACAAGGGCAAAGATCAATGAAACTAAAAGCTCATTCTTTGAAAAGATAAACAAAACTGATAAACTTTTAGCTAGACTCATCAAAAAAAAGGAAGAGGACTCCAATCAATAGAATTATAAATGAAAAAGGAGAAGTTACAACCTATACCACACAACCATAAAGGATCATAAGAGACTACTACAAGCAACTGTGTGCCAACCTGGAGGAAATGGACAAGTTCTTACAAAGGTACTGCCTCCCAAGACTGAGTCAGGAAGAAAAAGAAAATATGAACAGACCAATCACAAGCACTGAAATTGTAACTGTGATTTTAAAAACTTCCAATAAACAAAAGTCCAGGTGTGATGGCACCACAGGCGAATTCTATCAAACATTTAGAGAAGGACTAACACCCGTCTGGAACTGTCCCAAAACACTGCAGAAGAAAGAGAACTCCCAAACTTATTCTATGAGGCCACAATCACCCTGATGTCAAAACCAGACAAAGATATCACAAGAAAGAAAATTACAGGCCAGTATCACTGATGACTACAGAAGAAAAATCCTTAACAAAATACTACCAAGTAGAGTCCAACAACACATTAAAAGGACCACACACCACGATCAAGTGGAATTTATCCCGGGGATGCAAGGATTCTTCAGTGTCTGCAAACCAATCTGTGTGATACCACACATTAACAAATTTAAGAATAAAAACCAGGTGACCACCTCAATAGATGCAAAAAAAGCTTTAGGCAAAATTCAGCACCCATTTATGATAAATACTCTCCAAAAAGTTGGAGAGGAAACCCACCTCAACATAATAAAGGCCATATGTGACAAACCCACAGCTAACTTTATACTCAAAAGTAAAAAGCTAAAAGCATTTCCTCCAAGATCAGGGATATGACAAGGATGACTACTCTCACCACTTTCACTCAACACAGTTTTGGAAGTCCTAGCTAAGGCAATCAGAAAAAGAAAAAGAAATAAAAGGAATCCAAATTGGAAAAAAAGTTATACTGTCACTGTTTGCAGATGACATGATACTATACGTAGAAAATCCTAAACACTCTACCAGAAAACTACTACGGCTCATCAGTGAATTTGGTAAAGTTGCTGGTTACAAAACTAATACACAGAAATATATTTTATTTTTATACACTAACAATGAAAGATCAGAAACAGAAGGAAACAATTCCATTTACCATCAAATCCAAAAGAACAAAATACCTATGAATAAACTTACCTAAGGAGACTAGGTACAATCTTTCAGACTGTACTCTGAAAACTGTAAGATGCCGATGAAAGAAGGTGAAGAAGACAAAAAGAGATAGACAGACATACCATATTTGTGGACTGGTACAATCAATATTGTCAAAAAGACCATTACCCAAGGATATCTATAGATTCCGTGCAATCTCTATCAAATTACCAATGGCATTTTTCACAGAACTAGAACAAAAAAATCTTAAAATTTGTATGGAAATATAAAAGACCTCTGAACAGCTGAAGCAATCTGGAGAAAGAACAAAATAGAATCAGGCTCCCTGACTTCAGACTATACTACAAAGCTGCAGTCATCAAACAGTATGGTACTGGCACAAAAGAGAAATACAGATCAACAGGACAGGATTGAAAGCCTCTCAGAGATAAACCCACTCACCTATGGACAATTAATCAACAAAGGAGGCCAGTCTACACAATGGTGGAAAGAGTCTCTTCAATAAATGGTGCTGGGAAACTTGGACAGCTGCATGTAAAAAAATGAAATTAGATCATTCTTCAATAGCATACACAAAAATAAGGTCAACATGGATTAAAGACAAAAATGTGAGACCAGACACTATAAAACTCCTGGGGAAAACACAGGTAGAACACTCTTTGACATAAATCACAGAAATATCTTTTTCTGACAAAAAAAGTGGTCTGACAAAACGTGGTCCACTGGAGAAGGGAATGGCAAAGCACTTCAGTGTTCTTGCCTTGAGAACCCCATGAGCAGATGAAAAGGCAAAAAGATAGGACACTGAAAGAGGAACTCCCCAGGTCGCTAGGTGCCCAATATACTACTGGAGATCAGCGGAGAAATAACTCCAGAAAGAATGAAGGGATGGAGCCAAAGCAAAACCAACACCCAGTTGTGGATGTGACTGGTGATGGAAGTAAAGTCCGATGCTATAAAAAATGGTGCTGCCTAGGAACCTGGAATGTTAGGTCCATGAATCAAGGCAAATTGGAAGTGGTCAAACAGGAGATGGCAAGAGTGAATGTCGACATTTCAGGAATCAGTGAACTAAAATGGACTGGAATGGGTGGATTTAACTCAGATGACCGTTATATCTACTACTGTGGGCAGGAATCCCTTAGAAGAAATGGAGTAGCCACCATGGTCAACAAAAGAGTCTGAAATGCAGTACTTGGATGCAATCTCAACAACGACAGAATGGTCTCTGTTCATTTCCAAGGCAAACCATTCAATGTCACAGTATCCAAGCCTATGCCCTCCCTAACCACTAATGACAAAGAACCTTAACGGGATCAGTTCTATGAAGACCTACAAGACCTTCAAGAACTAACACCAAAAAAAAATGTCCTTTTCATCATAGGGGTCTGGAGTGCAAAAGGAGGAAGTTAAGAGATGCCTGGAGTGACAGGCAAGTTTGGCTTTGGAGTACAGAATGAAGCAGGACAAAGGCTAATAGAGGTTTGCCAGGAGAACACACAAGGCTCACAGAAACACCTCCTCCAACAACACAAAGGGCCAGGAGAACACTCTGGTCACAGCAACACCTCCTCCAACAACACAAGGGCCCATGAGAACGCACTGCTCACAGCAACACCTCCTCCAACAACACAAGGGCCCATGAGAACGCACTGCTCACAGCAAACACCTCCTCCAACAACACAAGGGGCCAGGAGAACGCACTGCTCACAGCAACACCTCCTCCAACAACACAAGGGGCCAGGAGAACGCACTGCTCACAGCAACACTTTCTCCAACAACACAAGGGGCCAGGAGAACGCACTGCTCACAGCAACACCTCCTCCAACAACACAAGGGGCCAGGAGAACACACTGCTCACAGCAACACCTCCTCCAACAACACAAGGGGCCAGCAGAACGCACTGCTCACAGCAACACTTTCTCCAACAACACAACGGGCCAGGAGAACGCACTTCTCACAGCAACACCTCCTC